TCCCTTTTTTTATGCTCTGCCTTTTTTTCATTTATTTTCTTTCCCTTTTCTTTTTTTCCTTAATTTTGAAATTATTTTTGGAAAATTTTTTAAAAAGGGCGTTAAAAAATTAAAATTATTCTAAAGGGTATTGGTATTTTTTAAAATTTTTAGCATATGTATTAAAATATTAATTAGATTTTTTAATGTTTCAAATGACTGGTTTATCCTTTTTCCAACCAACAACAATTACTCTTTATTTTTCTCTTTTTTCTCCACTCAAACAATTTCCCAACGAACAACCGTAGATTTGAAAGAAACACGACAAACACTAAACATGTTTCTTCGAAGAACTCTACTTTATAACATAGTAAAGCCCTTAACTCTCTTATACGGATTTGTTTGCTAGAAAACCTTGGTACTGCACCTATAAAATACATCTCCTTGACATTTTCTGTAAGGGGCAACCTGTCCAGAAAATGAAGTACCAGGGAAGATGAGAATAAAGTTTTGCACAAAAGTTCATCTGCAATTCCCCTTCATCAAATCTTAAGATTTTTCTAACTATAACATAAATTATTCATAAGCACTTTTGAATCTCTAATAATAGTAGTAACCCAAAATATCCTGACCCAACTCATCATAAATTAGAAATTAATGTATGCTATCTCTATTATTTTACAAGAATAAATTACTTTTTGCTGGCAACTAGACCATAGAACATTGAATTGATCAATATACAGAACCTTTCCTAAAAAGAGATTCGACAAAGTAATTAGCCTTTTCAATCTCTAAACGCTCCTTCACGTTTACTAACTTTTATGTAGAGTAATATGTGTAATGATAACATTAATGGCAAAAGAACCATTGAATTTAACTAATTCAAAACATCAATACTGTCAATAAAAATATGATAGCATCTTTTTTTTTTCTAACGAAAATTTTACACTTAAACCAAAGAAAAGTATTAACGATATTTAAGAAGATTAATAATCGATATAACCAATTGAAATGGAAATTTTACCAGTAAACATTTCCATGATTTAACGACTTCAAACTAGAAAGACGTTTGTTGAATTCTGGAGGCTGCTAATTGATTCTTCTTGAAAATTAGGGATCCCATTAAGGTTCATATTTTCACTATTACCATTCCAGAGTTAAGTTTACAAAATCGAGATTGAAAGAAAAACTAAGAAGAGACAGTTTAGATAACATGGTTGAACTCAAACTCAAGGCTAAATATCTCAATTGAAACAAGAAAAACTCAAAAATAGCATAGCTCTTGCAAATGAGCTCGAATGAAAACAATGGTGCAATGAAGGATAAAATAGTCTTTTAGGTGGACATAAAACATTATATGGTAATTAAACAATTTACAAAAAGAATAAAACACACCAATGCCCTTGAGAATAATATTGATATTTCTAATGTCCTTTTTAATAATTTTTCCATTATTTTTATATGTTTATGTCATCAATATTTTCCGTGCCTTTAAAATTCTAATTATAAAAAAAAATTGGACTCATTTAATAGTTTACATGTGTCATTTCATACATTTAAATTATTTAAAACTATAGCAATGAAGACGATGCCTTAGTTTTTTAAAAGTTATTATACATACGCATTCACAATATACATGATTTATCACTTGAATATTGCTTAATGTTTATTATTTTGAAATGCATAAGTAAATTAATAATTATAATAAAATAATAAAATGTAAAGAAGAACATAAAGAAAATATCCCCTTTTTAGTAGAATTGGTGTAGAATGTCTAATAAATTATCAGTTTACATTATTGGACTGAGTTGAAAATATTTATGAGTGTAAGCAGAATTGCACGTTGAAATGGGAGTTGATTTACAATTAAAAAATTATGACCAAGGGCCCATCCACCCACATAGTAACATAGTGAAGTAATAATTGTATGTTAGTGTAGGTCCCAAATTATATGGGTAGAGGGTATAAATTTGTTGCAGTAGCAGCTTAAAGTGTCAGGGGCCTTAAAGCGAGTTTTGAAATTTAGACCTTTTGAAAGTTAAAAAACTAACAAAAGAAAAAAGTTAACCTTCTTCCTTATTCATATTTTGGATCGACAATTACAAATCCAAAAGTTTATAGTAGGCGAAATTAAGGTTTTATAATTTTGAAAACTTTTTTAAACTCCGCCTAGTGTATATAAATAATTTTGGAGTTAAAATTCAAATAAATAAATTTTTTTGGTAATAGATTTTTCTTAAAAAATATATACATATATAGGATATTAAAAATACTAAAAATTAGGGGCCCCTAAAAATTGGGGGCCTAAAGCCACGGCTTCACCTATTTTATGGTGAAGCCACCCCTGATTTGTTGGATGAAAAAATATTTGAAAAGATGAGTGTACTAAAACTGGGAGGCTACTGAGTACCCTATTTCTTACTTCAGAGCGCCCTAAAAAACATACTATTTTGACCATTTTACCCTTTAATATTTATTTTTTTTTAAAAAAAAATACTGGAGAAACATGCCACCCTTTCACGGGTGGCGTGCAAAATTCTCGCCTCCCTTCACTGAAAGGTGAGAAAATCTTCCGCCCTATGAATGGGGTGGCACACAAATCTGGTGCCACCCCCCTCGGTTTGGCGAGTAAAGCGCTCGCCAAACTGAAAGGCTAGCGTTCCAACCGGCCGCCGTCCTTTTTTTAAATTTATTTATTTAATTAATTTTTAATTTATTCCCTTTTTTAATTTATTTATTAATTAATTTTTAATTTATTTAATTAATTTATTCATTTAATTAATTTATATATTTGTTTGGTAGTTAAATATTTAATTTTTTGCCAAAAAATTTATTTACTTACCAAAAAAACATTATGAAGTATTTAAGTTAAAAAATATATATTTATTTACCAGGCTAGATGCATTGATGATAGATAAATAATTTTTTAATTTAAATGTTTAGAGAATGATAATTTTTTAGTTGGTAGTAAATAATTCATTAATTTATAAATAATTAGTGTATTTTTATTAGTCATTTTTAAATAATTTGTTTGGTAGTAAATTCATAAGTTTTAGTCGTTATTAAATGATAATTTCTTTGTTTAACATAAGTAAATGATAAATTTTTATAAGGATTTACTACGTAATTAAGCAACATTCTCCAAATATTTAAGTTGAAAAATAATTTATTTAAGTTAAAAGTATTACCGTCAAACAAATAAATAAATAAATAAATTAAATAAATTAATTAATTAAAAAAAGAAATAAATCAAAATTAATTAAATATTTTTTTTTAAAAAAAAAGGGCGGCCGGTCCAACCGGCCGCCACCCATTCGGTTTGGCGAGCAGTTTGCTCGCCAAACAGAGGGGGGAGGCGCATGATTTGTGCACCACCCCCGTGTAAAGGGCGAGGATTTTTCTCGCCACCGTGAAAGGGTGATGTCTTTCTCCACGGCTGGCGCAAATGTGCGTCGCTCCTTCCCCATTTTTTAAAAATAAATATTAAGGGTAGAAGTCTTTTTAAGGTGTTCTGAAGAAAAGTTAGTAGCAACACGCTTGTAAAAAGCTGATATGGCAGTGATATGTAGTTTAATGTGTATATATTGTTGGAGATGTTCTTAGAGCAAGGGCAGCGGAATGGTGGAAAGAGTAGGGTTCCCTCCTACAAGTCAGCACAAATAACTCCACTTTTAGAGAACCTCGAATAACGGGCCATCCAATAAATAACCCCACCTTATTTACTCTTTATTCCTCTAGTAAATTTACTAAAAATAGTAAAAAATGTGAGCCAATTTTTCTGCATCTTTGCCCCCCCTCATTGGCAGTCCCACACTTCAATTTATATCCCAAAACTTTTGGTACATTATTTTATTTTCGTACCACATTTGATTTCCTTGTCACGTTTTATTTTTGTTCCCTACCCGTAAAAGAAAAAAACTTAGAAAATTTATAGATTAAATAAAAATATTTCATTGTTAAGTAAAATAATTTAATTTAAGGTACATAACAGAGATCATAATTAAAAAACACACAAAATTTAAAAGTACAAATTGTCACAATAAAGGTACAAAAATAATACAAAAATAAAAATACAAATTAAATTAAACTAAAAGATAAATTTCTTTAATTTTCATTCTAGTTGTGTCCAAAATGGGCCCACACCAATTTAACTTTTGTAGAAGTTGTAAGATAAGTATGAATTACACGTAAAAAGATGAATCAACTTGCTCCAATGAGCTGACCGTGAAAGTATGTGGCATGTACTTTTTGGCCACTTACTTCCACTGTGCATGCTCTTATCTTGAAGACTAGCAACCAACACAATATTATTTTATTATCATTATATTATAAACAATCGAATTTCAAAAATTTATTAGAAAATGTAAAGGATGTTGTTCACATTTATTATTCTTTTGATTTTCTTTTTTTCCTAAGACCTTGGTCATCAATTCAAATTTCTACCCGCCTTGGTGATTTGAACAGTCTGTGTAGACCCACTGCACCTTCAACGAAATTTGACACACACCCGCATGAATTAAAAACGGCCCAAAAAGAAAGGAGCCCAATCGTCACACACACAAAGACACAGAGTATATTTCATACATCACGCAGCCAGCACGTGACCATTTTGACGGAAATTTTGAAATTCGGAATCGAGCGCCTTTTTCATCAATTCACTTTAATAATTATCAACTCTCACACTATTTACTAAAATAATTTCCTTATCCCTTTTTTGTTTTCTCCTCCAACGTCTCTCCCAAATCTCACATTTCAAATTCCGCCACCTCCCTCTTCCTTCCTCCGCCCTCTGCTCAGGTAACTTCCTTCCCCTCATTCATTTCACCGTTAATTCGTACTCTTAATTCAATCCTTTTGTGCTCTAGTGTAACATCACCGTTGAAACGAATTTTATTTTTCTATGAATCAGATGAAAAGCCACGACCTAATTTGAAGCTTTTTGGTGGTGGAATTTCAATTGAAGCTAGGTTTTCTTTTATTTATTTATTTCTTGCCGATTGAAATTGGAATCGCGTGTGAAGATGGAGAATCACGAACATAAGGATGCATCTCAGTGTGTTCGAGTGGCGGTCAACGTTCGGCCGCTCGTCACTCCGGAGCTTCTCGTTGGCTGCACCGATTGTGTCACTGTCGTCCCTGGGGAACCGCAGGTACTGGATCAACACCGATTAAGTTTTTTTTTGATAAATTTTTATTTTATCTCTTAAACTAATTTTTTGAAATTATTCGTTAAATTTGTTGTGGAATGAAGTTAAGTGGTTTCGACCGAACCCCTAATTTGTTGCCTTACTTTTTCGTCCCCCCACCCACTTTTTGTGTGAATTGTATTGATTTGAGGTGTTTGGTGCAAAAACAGGTTCAAATCGGATCGCATGCCTTCACATTTGATTATGTGTTCGGTAGTGCTGGATTACCGTCGTCAAGAATATTTGATGAGTGTGTAGCTCCATTGGTTGAGGCTTTGTTTCATGGATATAACGGCACTGTTCTTGCATATGGACAGGTTTCTTTTCCTCGTAACTATTACTTTTCACTAATTCTTCGTGGTATATAGTTTTCTTTGTTTGCCTTCAACTTTCTCATGCTGTTCATTTCTTCAATTTTCAGACCGGGTCTGGGAAAACATATACGATGGGGACTAACTATAATGGAGAAGAGCATCAAGGTGGAGTTATTCCTAAAGTGATGGAAACCATTTTTTCACGAGTAGAGGCAATGAGGGAATCCACTGAGTTTCTAATACGAGTATCTTTTATTGAGGTACGCAAGTAAGCTCTTTGGTGTTATCAGTCTCAGCCTTTATATCATCGAAATGTTTCTAAATTTCACTTCGTGGTTTCAGATTTTTAAGGAAGAAGTGTTTGATCTACTCGATCAAAATTCACAAGCCTTTCCCAAAGCTGATGGAACATCCTCGGCAAAACCAACTGGCCCTGCAAGGGTTCCCATCCACATCCGGGAGACAGTTAATGGAGGGATCACACTTGCTGGTGTGACAGAAGCAGAAGTTAGGACAAAAGAAGAGATGTCATCATTTCTCTTGCGGGGCTCAGTTGCGCGGGCTACTGGGAGCACTAATATGAATAGTCAATCAAGGCATGTACATCATTCGAGCTAGACTTACTCTTTACATCACTAAATGCATGTATTTGTGTTGATCATAGATGAATTTAGGTTTTAAGCAATGAGCACTATTTTGGGCCAACCCAGTTTATGTTTAATGTAAACAGTGAGATGCTTTGTGTAGCACTTAATGCTAACACCTACAATTCTTCAGTCGTTCGCATGCCATTTTCACAATCTCCATGGAACAAAAAAGAATGTCCAGTTGCTCAACTGGACAAGCTGATGACTTCGGGGATGAAATCTTGAGTGCCAAACTACACTTAGTGGACCTAGCTGGTTCTGAAAGAGCAAAACGAACTGGAGCAGATGGGCTGCGTTTGAGAGAAGGTGCAGTTTTGTGAACTATTTCAGCTTGCTGGATAGGAGATTTACGAAAGATCTAGTTTTCTTACTTTATTTTGTGTTATGGTACGATTTAGGCATTCATATCAATAAGGGATTGTTGGCACTGGGAAATGTTATCAGTGCCTTGGGCGATGACAAAAGAAGGAAAGAAGGAGGTCATGTCCCTTATCGTGATAGTAAATTAACTCGCTTGTTGCAGGTAACACCACTTTCTTTACATTATCATTTCTCATGTCTCTGTGTAATCCTTTGATAACGTATCATGTTATGATGGCATTTGCTGATATAAATCTAAGATGGTCTATATCTGTTTGAGTTTTGGGGGACTGAACTGCGCCAAATAGATCCACTTACTAAACTACTTTCTTTCCATCTCTCTTCCTACTTCCCCCCAAACCTTCTTGATTGTTGTTCTAATTAGATCACTATTTAGTGATATCTGTCTCCTCTCTTGAGCTTGATATATTTTTTTTCTTCGTAAAATTTGCAACCAGCTCGTTTCCTTGATATGTTAATATGGTACCTTATAATTTATTCTGTGTTTCTAACTATGTGTATATTGTCTTTCAGGATTCTCTTGGAGGGAATAGCAAAACAGTGATGATTGGTAGGTTTTGTGGTTTCAACTGTATGCTTATCTTGTTAAGCATATTCTCTGCTAATTTATGTTGTAACTCCTTCTCTTTCTTATCTGTATGCATGAGTAGCTTGCATCAGCCCTGCTGATACAAATGCTGAGGAGACACTAAACACCCTCAAGTATGCAAACCGAGCCCGGAACATTCAAAACAAAGCAATTGTAAGTGTCGTATATATAAAAGAGATAGGGATTCGTTTGGTTCACTGCATAGTTTCTCATGCTTTGTGTTGCAGATCAATCGTGATCCAATGGCAGCACAAGTGCAACGAATGAAAAATCAAATTGAAATGTTGCAAGCTGAGCTTCTTTTCTTCCGAGGGGAATCCACGGTTCCCTTTGAGGAACTTCAGGTATTACCTCGTTCTTGGTTGTTTCAAGTTATCATTTCAGCCTCAATTCATATGGGGGATATTAACTTTCAAGAGCATTTACTTCCTAAAAGTGTACCATTAACTCTTCCATCTTTTTCTCCAGATTCTGAAGCATAAAGTTTCTTTGCTTGAAGCAAACAATATACAACTGCAACAAGAACTCCAAGAACAGCGAATCAGTTGTGAGCATTTTAGTCAACAAGCTTTAGATGCTCAGGTCAGTGAAATTTGTATTGTTGATTGTTAAGTTCAATAGAATTTGAATAAAATGCTCCCTTGAAGCTTTCTTACCCTCTCCTTGGTGATTAGGTGGAGCGTGATAGACTCCTGATGAAAATTGAATCTTTTAGAAGTGGCAAAGCATTGAATGAAATTGACTTTGAATCCAATCAGGTATGAATTTCATGCTCATGTTTAAGTGGTTATTCACATGGAAAAATGGACTCATTTGGTTTAATTTTGTGTTAAAATTTTTCCAGGATTTGGACATGGTTAAAGGATATGTATCCAAGATACAAAAGTTAGAGGGTGAAGTGATCCGATTACAGAGCTTGACCCATTCGAGGCGAAATGAGTTAGTTGATTATGTTGACATGGATGATAGTGGGCTCCATTCAAAGGATGGTTTTTTGGCTGAGGCAGAAACCAAAGCTTCTAACTTAAATCGTAAGCTTCATCTAGCCTTCCACTAGAGATTAAATATTGATTCTGCAGGTTCTGACTGGCTAATATCATACGCGTTACATTATTGAAAAATGAAGCTTGTGGCAGAACTGAGTCCCTGTGATGAGCATTGTTGCAATTTGTACCTTCTGAGTTATTGTCTTCTGAGTTTTTAGGATCTTTAGGTTTCAAACTGATGGAGAAGAATAATTTGTGATGTTCCTTTAGGTGAGTTTGAAGATGAGGAGAAAGAGCGAGACCATTCTTCTCTTCAGGAGAAATTAGACCGGGAGCTCAAAGAATTGGATAAAAGACTTGAACAAAAGGAGGTAAACTGCATTATGAAGTTATTTTAAGGTTTTTCTTCTCAAAATTGTGTACAATCAAATCCCTCCCTAACAATTTACCTCTTGACAGGCTGAAATGAAGCAATTTGCAAATGCAGATACTTCAGTTCTCAAGCAACACTACGACAAGAAAGTTCATGAATTGGAACTTGAAAAGAGGGCTCTACAGGTAGGTCTTTCTCGTGTAATAGATATTCTTTAATGTTACCATCATACACCATGTTGTCTGATCTTGTTTCCCACTGCAGAAAGAGATTGAGGAGCTCAGACATAACCTTTCAACCATATCATCCACTACTGATGACAGTGCTCAGAAGCTCAAAGCAGATTATCTTCAGAAGTTGAATATCCTCGAAGCTCAGGTAACTTTTCATCTTAAATTTATCTTTGCAGGTATCTGTAACAGATATCTTCTGCTTTTCAGTTAATGTTTTAATCCTTGAAGCCCATGTAGTAATTTTTGAATCACTTCAGGTTGCTGAGCTGAAGAAGAAGCAAGATGCTCAAGCTCAACTTTTGAGACAAAAGCAGAAGAGTGACGATGCTGCAAAACGATTACAGGATGAGATACAGAGGATAAAATCACAAAAAGTACCGTATTCTTCTTTTCGAATATTGGATGTATAGAAAAGGCATATCGTTTCCTCTGATTCAGATACTCTTCTGTTTCTTAGGTTCACTTGCAACAAAAAATAAAGCAAGAATCAGAGCAATTTAGGTTGTGGAAAGCATCTCGTGAAAAGGAAGTTCTTCAGGTGCTTCTATAATTATTTTCTCTAGTTGGCACTTGATGTAGGTTTATTTAAATGATGCATCTCATATGATCCTATATTGTTCACATCCGAACGCGAATATATGAACTAAATATATTATTTGAACTATAGTTATATCCCTAGTGTATCGTCTCAATGAAGACAATTCTGGTTGCTGTTTAACTTTATTTATGTCCCTAATGTCATAAAAGCGCTTGATTAATTTTTGTTTGAACAGCTCAAGAAAGAGGGAAGAAGGAATGAGTATGAGATGCACAAGCTATTGGCACTTAATCAAAGACAAAAGATGGTAAGTAGTGTCTGATTTGAAATTCCTGTGTCATTTAAGAGGTGTGATTCTCAATCATATGCATTATCTGTTGTTAGGTTCTTCAAAGAAAGACTGAGGAAGCTGCTCAAGCCTCTAAACGGCTAAAAGAATTGCTAGAATCTCGGAAAGCTTCACGTGAACTATCCGGTAGAAAACTGTTTATATCTCAACTATTCAATTATTAAACATCTATAATCTTTGTTGATGACTGATGTTTTCTGTTTGCATATTTGGGTGGTGTAGGAAGTAGCAGTGCTGCTGGCATCCAGGTATCTTACTCTGAAAAGCATAGATTTTGTCTGTTTATTCCTATCAAGGATGCAAGAATTTGCATATTGCTTACAGTCATCCTCGCCCAACTAATTTTCTTTCCATTCCAAAGGCTCTGATGCAGGCAATTGAACATGAACTTGAGGTCATGGTTCGAGTACATGAAGTGCGTACGGAGTATGAGCGTCAAATGGAAGAGTGAGTCATATATTTTATTTACTTTCAGTAACCACAAATTTTTATTTTTGCTGATCCTTGAAAGCTTTTATTATAGTGTATTTCAGACCTAGGAAAACTATGAAGAGTTCGTAAGTATGGAGTGAAACTTTGTTGCACAGGTTTTCATTGGATCGTTATTATGTAGAATTTCCTAACCGTTGTATACTATTATCCAATAGTTTTCTCAGTTGATGTGACTTTTTGGATGGTTATTTTGAAATCAGAAGGTGCCAATATGATTCCTTGTTTCTTGAATTCTTTTTTTTATTTTTTTTTTATTTTTTAACTTTCATGAATGTAAACTCCTTGTATGCCTTCCTTAAATGTCATTTTGTAAATGTAGGAGAGCTAGAATGGCCAAGGAGGTTGCAGAGTTGAAGGAAGAGGCAGCAGCTATGAAACAAGGAAGCACAAGGTTTGAAGTATTCTTGTGGTTTTTGTATCCTGTTCTCATTTTTCAGTCATGTTCTTGATTTAAGGTATAAACTTTTCAAATTTCTGCAACTGCAGTAACTTCAGACGGACCATGTCTCCTGGTGCAAGAAATTCAAGAATATTTGCCCTTGAAAACATGCTTGCCACCTCATCTAGCGCCCTTGTTTCAATGGCTTCTCACTTGTCTGAAGCAGAAGAACGTGAACGAGCATTTAGTGGTAGAGGAAGATGGAACCAAGTCAGATCACTTCCAGAAGCGAAAAATATCATGAACTTCTTGTTCAACTTAGCCTCCTCCTCAAGGTCTTTTGTCCTTTACAGACAACACTCTTTTCAAGGAACAAAATCTGAAAGTTGTTTATTAACCATTGCGCTTTCTTTATGTAGGTGCCAGCTAAAGGATCGTGAAGTGGACTGTAGAGAGAAGGATTCTGAAATCAGAGACCTTAAGGAAAAAGTGGTCAAATTAGTTAGACAAATAGAACTGCAAAAGGCTGATCTCATTCGTCAAGAGAAATTGATGGTTAGTCCCTTATATTGAAGGATACAGAATTTTTAAATTTACAGCAATAGGGTTAAATTACTCAATGGAAGTTGAGTCGAATAAGTTAAGCTTTATCCTGCCACGAGTAGTTTTAGCTTGATACCCAATACATCCCACTGTCAACTTGGGTTTTGACGTGGTATGGTAGTGGCGGAAACTTTCCTAAGTCAGTAAACTACAAATACAGTTTATGCATATGTTTCCCTTGTGAGTATATCATTCTGTTTTATTTTCTGTTGCTAACTTGGACACTTTCCCCCAGATTTTGGCCTCCCAGAAACCTCCCAATGGAGATTTTAACAAATATGAAACTCGTCTTGAGAATGGTGCTGAAAGCCGATTGTATGATTTGAGGCCCACGGTAAATTCTCTTGACCACAGATACATCAGCTGTGACCATGATATATTTCCTGCTTTGTTCTATCTGTATGCATGTGATGTACCGTAATTACCAATCATCAATCAAAATAATTTCTTAAACTTTCCCAGGGGGCACGACAATCTATCATCTTCAATGGTGGTAATAATTTGCAATTGGAAGACATGGACATCTCGGATTCAGATTACTCGGATATGGACAAAACTGATGATGATGATTATGAGTTGGAACAATCAGATATGGACGGTGATGATTCTGTGGGGTTCTCAAAAGTAAGGAAGCGCACCAAGAAAAGGAACTCCAAGAACAGTAATCATTCTGGTACATCTTCATGTCCCATATCTATCAATTCAGATGGCATGACGGAACCTACATCACATGGGGGAGATAGTTCTGTAAACCAGCTGCGAGCATCAGCATTTTGCTGCTCCTGCAGTAAGAGCTCCATGTGCAAGACGAACAAGTGCGAGTGTAGAGCTTCAGATGGACATTGTGGATCCTCTTGTGGTTGTGATCCTTCAAAATGCAGCAACAGAGAATCAGGACCAAACCAAAATGATCATGATCCACCTAGATCAGGATTCTCCGGATCGACTGCAAGTGCATCAGAAATTGATGAAGCGGAGAGGAACCACATTCTCGCTTCTCATGGTGCAACGCTTCTAAATTCTGCACTTTCCGGAAAGTCTGCGGTAAATGATGACAATGGATCCAGAAGAAAGCCTTTGTCAGACATTGGAAATACCACGGTATGTTTTACCTGTTTTTCTTGTTACTGCTGTTTGATATTTTGGCCTCGGCTGTATAGTTACGGTCATTGGGTTCTTACTCTTCTGTAACTGTCAGGCAAAATCAAATGCTCCTAAACCGAGCCAGAGGAAGAAATGGGGGAAGTCCACCATTCAACTGGTTCCTGCTCCACCTCCACCTTCCACAGAACCAGAAAATCTTGAGGCCTCGATAAAACAAGAATCCATCTCGAATGAGTCTACTGACATTCCCTTGAAGTTACCCAGGGCGATGCGCTCTGCGTTTATGAATAATAATCCTTTGAGAGAAAGGAATTCTGATCAGCAAAGTGATGTCACTGTTACAAAGGATACTGGAACTACAGCTCCTGGAAGTCCTCCAAGGCAGGTGAAAAGAGTCGATGAGAAAGAAAACCGGGGTTAAGTCTTGAGGAAAAGAACCTGGATTCCAACTGAACGCGCTGATTTTGTAGCAATTGTGTTTTGTGTAAATTTATTTTGGACACACGATATCACGCGATTGGGGTATCTCATTTCTCAATCAGAAAGTCTCACTTCTGGAACTGCAATTTGTTTGTCCATTGCTGGTTCTGAGACAACTAATGAACTTCGAATGGAGTTGAAACTTAATGAAATTTGTTCTTTCCTTGGCCGTTAGGCTAAGGTCAAGCGTAATGGAAGCCATTCAGGTCCTTTGTTCATGTTAGAATTAGCTTGAGTGAAACTAGTGCGTTTCCTTACTGCCTATTTTGATTTTGGAACAAACTGTTTAAAACAATATTGAAATTTAATGTTGATGTTATTTTCTCAACGTAAGTACTTAAGTTGTTTTTTTTTTCCCCCCAAACGCAGGTGCACTACTGATTTATAGTAAAACTTTGTTCTTACATTTTCAGACTTTCTGATTTATAGGAAATTGAATCAGACTTCGTACAACACTTCAGAAAAGGTTTCTTACTCCTAAAAAATGCCGTGCCAGATATAAGTATCTCTTATTTCTGGGAAAAAGAAAAGAAAGGATTTAACACGGGAAACAAAAAGCATCCCCCAAGCTACCAATTATCTTTCATTCAACTGGTACCTTTGATTCTTGTTGCCAGTGTAATCATTCTAAATCTATCATGCCTGGCAAGAAACTGATTCTGGCTGGTAGACTTGGATTTTGTCTCTTCCCTACAGAAGGCTTTGTCGCTGCATTTCAACCTTGGTGCCATATCCTTAGCAAGAACTGCAGTTTCCGAGAGGCTCATTTGTCATATGATTCCATAAAAACTTTACAGCTATGAATCTCACTTGATACCCAGCTTTGAAATCCAGTAGTTCAGTTGACTAGCGACACATTCTGTCCCTGTTGACCCGTATGAGCTAAATTTTCTAATGGAATTCTCCACCCCGAGGAAATCATAGACCTCTTCGTCAAATACTGGACTTATACTTCGTAGTTCTTCAAGACTCATGTCCTGAAGCTGGCACTTGCGCTGTACACATACTGCAACAGCTCTTCCCGAGATATCATGCGATGTTCTAAAAGGAACACCCTGAAGAGAGATATTATCCATACAATGAGATTTGCTAGCAAACATACAGATATAATGAAGAGAAAAGCCTGTAACAGTTTTAGTTCAACTTTCATGGGTAGGGCCAACAAAGAGATAATTATCACTCACTATAAGGCTGTTAAAGTATTTTAGGAGTTTGTTGTCATACAGATCTTAAAAAAAAATACAAAGGCGCAAACAAAACACGAAGCACGAACAAGATTTACCTTTTTGACAAGGTAATCTGCTAGTGTAGTGGCATCAAGATGACCAGCAGGTAGAGATGTTCGGATTTTCTCTTGATTAAAAGTAATGTTCTGAGCAAACTCAGCTGATACTTCAAGCATCCCAATCACAGTTTTGACACTATCAAAGACAGGTTCCTTATCCTCCTATTACAGAAGAAACAAGCAATAATCATTTTGATATACTTGATGGAAAGAAGTTCTCTACTATGGCAAAAAGGAATCAACAGTAGGAGATGTACGAAAAACTCCATTTAAAGGAGCTAGCATTATGTAGACCTTCATATTTGATAAGCTCATGCAACAACTAAAATTACGTGGTATCCGAAAACCCATTAAATACTGCTGATAATCAATAAAGTTCACCTGCAAATCACGATTGTATGCATGAGGAAGTCCCTTGCACAGTACAAGAAGTGAAACCAAATCTCCTATTACTCTTGCAGATTTACCGCGGACAAGTTCCATTGGGTCTGGGTTTTTCTTTTGAGGCATTATACTGCTTCCAGTAGAAACTGAGTCACTTGGTATGATAAATCCAAATTCCTCTGACGCCCACAATACCCATTCTTCCCCAAGCCGAGATAGATGAGTTGCAATGATTGAATTTGCAGAAAGGAACTCCAAAACAAAATCTCTATCAGAAACTGCATCAATACTGATGAAAAAAATTGTGTCAATCAGGGCATGCACAAGATACCAGGTAAAGGAAAATACAACAACAATTGTAGCTTGTACTCCCTCCATTCCGAATGATTGTCCAGTCTGGATTCTCATTTCTAGTACAAATTGTACTAAAATTGAAAATCTATACAGGACAATCATTTTGAGACAGAGGGAGTACACATTACGTTTCAACATGATGAATAACTATACATTTGCACATCAAATTATAGATTGTCCTCATTTTGTTATTGTAGCTTTTTCACATCAAATTTCAGTTAAAGGTATGAATACAAAGCTGATTAATTTCACCTCCAGATTCGTAAATGACAAATACTTACTAATGCTACATGTTGATTAATTTCACCTCCAGAATTCCAAATGACACATATTCCCTAACGTTATAAATATCTAAACTTCATCAATGAACCTTTAGCAAGTTAGCTAGACATTTCACACCATTTACTTTGCATGAGTAATCAGCTACAGAGATTAATAACAAACATTCACAAGATTCTAGGAGAAAAAATGTATTCTGTACTCATGATATGTACATATCTCATCCCGCTAATCTCAATTTTGGATGCATCAACCATATGATTGATAAAAAGCACAGGACTGATCTCAATTATAAAGCGAATACAGCTGCAATGGTTTTAGCTCTCACCTGTTTCTCAAAGGAGCTATAAAACCCAAAGCATTAGAGGTCATAAACCTATCAATGGGAAGACCTGTACCAGCTAATGCACATGCACCGAGAGGGCAGAAATTCATCCGTGCTCTACAATCTTGTAAACGGCCAACATCACGTTCAAGCTACGAAAAGTCATACAATAATGGTAAGTTAAGCAAGATTGGGCTTGATTTCAGCAGCATTAAGAAATCTGTATGATATCACTTTTCATCAACCAATCAAACTATTACAATCAATAAGTTGATTCCAAGGATGAAAGGATATGAAGATAAGACTACAAATCTTTGGAGCATAGAGCAATGAAATGTTTACCTGTTCTACATAAGCTAAGAGAAGATGCTGCAAAAGAACAGGTTGTGCCCTTTGCAAATGGGTATATCCAGGAACAATTAAGCCATCATTCTTTAATGCAAGTTTCAGCAGTGAAACCTGCAAATTTGCAAAAGATGTTTCATGAGAAAAATTAAACATACGAGGTCAGCAAAGGCAGAAACATACTTCAGTAAGATTATACCAAGTAATACCAGGCAGATATAGCCCTTCTTTGAGCTTTCTGTTGCATTAATCTATTCCAACTAATAGCAGGCAGAAATAGCCCTTCTTTGAGCTTTCTGTAGCACTAATCTATTCTCTGATCAGATAATTCCGTAAGTGCATTTCATAGTCAACCAACTTCCGAAAGAAATGCATCGGCTTATTACAAATTCCAAACACTAAGCAGAAGCCTAACGAGAAGATCATTTTGAATTATGACCGACTCTGTCCAACCAAACACATTTCAGGTTGCATAGCCGGAACTACGGAAAATCTTAGTTACAAACTATAGGCTGCACAAGAGCTTTTAGAAGACAAAGCTAAGAGTACTCATACTACCTGAAGATGCTTAATACATGACACAATGGTGTCTATACTGTCACGACACCAAAGACGGAAGTCAGTACAGACTTGGTCATTCCGACTCCTTGCTGTATGGAGCTTTTTGGCAGGTTCCCCTACTAAGTCGGTCAGCGTTGCTTCAATGTTCATATGCACATCCTCCCTGTCAGTCCGCCATTCGAACTCCCCAGCTTCAATTTGCCTCTCGATGTGATCCAGACCTTGTAAAATTTGGTCTCTATCACTTTCACTTATCAATCCCTACACATTGGAATACCAGAAAAAAAAGTCAAATTCCCCACCAACATGAGAGAATATTACAATGTTGCCAATTAAATAAGTAACAATCATTTTCGGAACTATTTAATCAACAGACAAACTAAAACATAATAGAACCACACTACTTCAAATGCCAAATTCAAAGCAGCAGATCATCCACAACAGAAAACAAAGGAACTATCAATTCTTATTGATTACATAAACCTCATCATAAGAACTGGAGAAAAAAAGAACCTGATGAGCAAGCATGGAGGCGTGGGCACGGCTACCCATAATGTCATGCTTATATAAAGCCTTATCAAATGAAATTGATTCAGTGAACTTCTCCACAGCATCAGTCACGCTCTCCTCGAATCTTCCACCCCAGAGCTTCGCTTCCTTCTTCTCTTTTCCATCAACAGAGACGGCGGCGGCGGAGGAGTTGTTCGTGCTCTGAGGCATTGGCAATGATAAACTTCTTCTTGGCTTCGCAAAAGAGATTCTTTGGGGTTTAGGGAAAATGGGATTTCTGAGGGTGGTAAGGGCGTGTTTGGATACAGAGAAACTGGGAATGGAAGTTGAAGAAGATGAAGGCGGCGAAGCTAAGGCGGTCTGCATATTTTACGGCGGCGCAGAGCGGAGCTTTTCCTCTTCTAATCAAAATGAAAGTAGCAGAGACTGTGAATGGAGGGAGACCTTTTTACGTTTGTCGTTTTATTCGCTCTTTCTTTCTATTTTACAAAAAGGGCGAACTACATTTTACCCCCGAGTTTTAGCCCTTTAACAAAATTTCCCTCAAATTTTTATCAAACTACAAATATCCCCTGATCTTTGATCTTTCTAACCGTTTGAATACTTTCTCACCGGAGAATGATGTCAGCAGCCGACATCATCCAACTTTTAGCATGAACTGACAAAAATACCTAGCTATAAGCTCCTTTTTAAAAAAAAAATAAAAAAATAAGCCTCATATTTTTAAAAGTAAAAAAAAAATAAAAATAAAAAATAAAATCCAAAGGCCAAATACAGTTCCCATCCTCACGGCATTCTTCATCACCATCCAAATAATATGCCCCTTTTCATCCTCCCTTCTCCCATCACATGCGCCGCCTATAAATCCACGTCCCTTTCTCCACCATCCAACCATAATCTCCTCCGCACATGAAATATATGCATAGCCACCACTTCCAAACTTGCTCGTTGCATCCGTCAGTCGCCGCTTTACAAATTTGGATAGAAAAATAAAACACTAGCATAGTTTTGCCAAAACGAAAATCACTAGTTAAGTTTCAATTATATTCGAATGATCGAATCCATTCTGCCACATTCTTCTCATCTCTTTTAACAATTAATCAAGGGACGGCATCACAGCTAGCTAAAACATCAGTAACAGTGGTAGATCGACATAGGCCTTCGGGCTGAGAGGGGCCGGTTTTAAATTTTCTTTACTTTATGAAGTTGTATAATTTCTTTGATTTTTTTACTCAATTCTGATGTGTTGCGGTTAAAAATTAGTTTAGATGATGGTGGAATTAGGTTTTCTTATCTCAAAACAGAGAAATAATAAAGAGGACAATGAAGACCAACATGGTATTAGAAAGGAGAAAGCAGGATAGTTTGTGTCGATAAAAAATGGTGGTCGAAAAAAAATAACAGTAGTTTGGTTGGGTAGAAGACATGGGTAGTATAGTTTTTTTATATTATCTTTTTTTAAATATTTTTATTTAATTGGTTGGTCTAACCGGAGGCTTTTTTGTCATTTCACAATTTTCCGACGTTGACTTAACGTTTCACCCAGTCAAAGGGGGAAAATATAGTAACACCAAAACTTGAGGGTTATTTGGTTAAAGAGCCAAAATTTGGGGGGGCAAAATGTACTTTGCCCTTACAAAAAATGATACATTTAGTCCTTTTTTGTTTGGACTGATTATACTTTCAGCCTCCTCTGTTTTATTGGTTTCTCTCTTCATCCCTTTCTGTTTTGTCATTTACATTATCCATAGAAAAGATTCTTAATCATGAACACTGTAATTTTTATTTTAATTAATCAAATAAAAGTGTAATAATGCACTATAAATTTACAACTATAATTATACACTAAGTTTTTAATAGTGAAAATAGGTTTTAGATACGGAATATGCTCGAGAGAACAAAAACTTTTGGTAATCTTTAATTTTTTTTTCAAAAGAAATCTCGTCAAGTTTTAAGTTTAAGTTCACAAACAAACAAATCTTGATAGCATATTATTTGGTATCGTTTACAAAAAGAACCCGCATGCAGAAGTTATAAATCCCTTGACGTCATTAAGTGATGGTTTCTCTCCACCGTAATGTGATAAGATTTGTGTATTTTAATAATATAATAATATATAGTTAGATTATGATTCCCTTTCTATAAGCAGAAAACGAACAAAAGCAATTGATCGGATTAAAAATTTTAAACACATGGTATTTGCAAGAAAAATCATTTTGGGACGGAGAAATTTACTTATATGTACGAAGTAAAGTAAAACTTTTTAAAAAAATGACGACAACAACAACTAGAGACTAATAATAGGAGGGACGAAAAAATGCAAAATAAAAGAAAGATAGAGCCATAAATATAAACCAGGTTCATTGGGCAGTGAGGATCACGCAACAAAAAGAAAAATGAATTCCTACCAAATTTAAAAATTCCGATTTTGTATAGGAGTGTAATACCGTCCAACGTTAAAACTAGATGCCACCTCTTCTTACGTTGCCCATCTAAAACACGTCTTTTGTCCCCATTTTTTTTTTAGAACCCAGCATTTTTCTTCAAATCCCCCCATTCAAACCGCTGACAAAACTGAAATTTGGGTTTTGGGGAGAAAGAAAAAATAAGGCTTTGATTTGAAATAATCGGCTTTGGTTTGTTTTACAAGGTACATACTTGCTACAAGTAATGTCCCTTTTATGGGTTAATATTGGTTTTTGGTATATTGTTCCTTTCTGAAGACAGCCATCTTTTTTTTTTTTTTGCATTTGTCTTGTTCCTGCATTGAATCTGCCACCATCATTCGAAATTTGTTTGAGAAGGAAAGTATTTGTTTTTTTTCTGAGAAACCCACGTTGAGATTCTCCGGAAAAATCTAATCTTTGGGTTTTTTATATCTACTTTGTGATCGTGTCGCTTCTCCTTGTTTTGCTTCATTCTATTGATAATGACCCAGAATCGCTTTAATTTGGATTTAGTTCAGGATTTCTGTTTTTGAAAAATAATAGTGGAGAGGGATTTGGAATGAAGGAGGATCAGAACAGAGTAATTTGATTATTGCAGGAAACTTATGTACTAGCGATTTCGTCTGCAGTTCCGATTTGCTGCCCATTTCAATGTTCGGTGGACGTGTGGGAATTGAATTTGTTTCTGTTTTTAGTATTTTTTTTAAACATTTAGTCTGCATCAAGCTTTTCATTGTTGTGCTAATTTTTGTAATTTCAAACTTGGATTCTACTTTTTTTGACCTTGTTTCAGCTGTCTGTTTTTTACCTTTGTTAGAAGTTGAATTTTCTCATGAGAAGGTTATTTCTGAAGTTTGATACTGTAATATTTTAAAAAATGTATGTTGCACCTTCTGGGAAACTGATGGGGTGGTTGTAAGTCAAAAGAATGAATCTATTTTTAGGTAATGCTGGATGAATATATTGCCCTTCAGCAGTGAATTATTGATAATACTGAAATGTTGCTGGATAATTTTGAATGTTTTACCTAGGATGTGTACTTTCTTTAACATAGTTGCAGTTTCTATCACCGCAGGTATGAACTATTAGTTGCAGATTCTGCCTGGCTGTCCAGATCCTTAGTCCATAGACTAAATTGCATATAAATGCAATTCTGCCTTTTCACTTCTCAATCTATTACACTGGATTAGAGTCCTGTCTGGTGTGAAAGGCTTTTGGATTTTGTTTGGCGCAGCCATGGCATTTACAAATTTGTGGTGGCGGTGGAGTAAGAAGCAGAAAGAAGAGCCCAAAGTCCGAAATGGTGCCCCTCGGAATTCTTCACCTAATTCAGGACTGGTGGAATCAGATACCTTAAAGGTTCAAGGGGGGAACATGGGCTCTTCAGCCAGACGAATAAAAAGGCATAGTCGGGAGGCTAGGAAAATTGATAAAGAGCATGATGTTGTTATTGTTCCATCAGATGGTGTAAGCTTGTCCGGGTCTGAATCAGACGATTCGGATTCAGATTGGTCAATTGGATGGTTGGAGCCCCACGGTTCTTCCTTTCAAAATGATGACGATTCAGATGACAGTTTTGCTGTGCTAGTTCCCTGTTATGGACGTGGCCGTGGACAGTTGGATGACAAATCCAGAGGCAACATTTTGGATAACATTGGCCGCATTCCTGACCTGTATGGTGAAGGTAAGAATCCATTTCTCTGATTGGTTCCTTTTATTTTTTTATTTATTTAGTTGTTGTTGTTGTTGTATTTAGTTGGTAGACTCACAAATTCCATAAGAAAAATCGTCTCTCTTTTTTATATGAAAATGGAGCATTATCCTATTGGTCCTTCTCTGCGTCCTGCAGTTGTAAAATGCACAATCGTGTCTTATGTGAAAGTTACTATCTAAGACTTGTTAGTTATGTAAAGGGCTATGAATGTTCGTAATGACAATTCGAACTTACCATTAAATTTGTAGCCGATTTTGGATGATATGGTTACATACATATAGTGTGAGGTCGTAAGAGGTGCATAAAAGTAATTACGCTAGGGAGTTTTATGGCAGGTACTTTGTGAAAAGTTGTGTTTATGAATGATGAGATGATGCCTTGTTAGAATTTCAAGATATATGGTAATGAGATTCTTACCTTACACTGAAGCAGAAATCCTAGGTTGTCTTTGATCTTTGTGATATCTGTGTGATGTCCCGACTCCTTAGTCGAAAGTTGAACACATGAGTTCTCGTCCACTTGAAAGAATTTTCCTTCTATGAATATTTTACTGCACAACTGTTAATTATATCAAAGGGAGCCATAGCATTTGTGTTTCCTACCTGCCTTCCAAATACTAACAGCAAAATGGGATGCTTGAGAACTAGTGCTTATAACAGTGGAAGTTTTTCATTTCTTTTACTTGTATTTAGAATTTAATCCAATGACTTATTTAAGAGAAAAAAAATTATTTTGAGCCTTGAACTGGACAGCAAAGTGAATGTTCTTTGCCATTGTAATACAAGAATTAGCTTATCCAAGTCACTGAACAAATTTGAGGGTTTGGAAGACTCGAAGAGTTCTTTTGGATTTATTTTTATTTTTTATTTTTTGTGGTAAACAATTTACTAAGGTTTATAGCCTTACATCTCCTATTAACAAAGAGATCTTGCTCTAGTATTAGCCCTATGCAAGTGTTTGAACTTTAATCCATTTTGTTACATTTTACTTGCAGCTCATTAATGGCATTCTCTGTTTTCCTATGAAAAAGCATGGGATTTGACTCTGTTGTTATGAATATAATGAGTTGCTGAAATCGTGTATAGTGTCATCTCTTTGTTTTAGGTTTCGATTTTTTTTTTCTTTTCCTGACTTGCTTTTTGTTACAATACAGAAAGCAAGAAGCATATGGAACGATGGCTTTCCTCTTTGCAGAACGGTTGAACTAAAGTCACTGAAACAGTTCTCTGTGTGGCACCATTAAGGAAATAACGTCTTCGCTGTGGTTTTGTGCAGTGGATTGACCTATAGTTGGCAAAACCCGAATACGAAAACACACTAAAAAAAAGTCAAAAAAACAAAAAGAAAAAAAAATTTGAGAAACTGTAAAATGCTCTATGGAAGCCAGTATTTTGACATTGTCATCATATTGCTGCTAGTGGAAGAGGGGAGAGTGTGTTATATCTTAGGAGAAAAGAAACTGAAGATGGAGGAGGGGTGAACTGATGATGTTTCCTTTCATATCTGTGGTGAAGCTGATAGGAAGAAGGATGAAAAGTGTGAAATTTTTTTTTTTTTTTTTTTTGCGTGTCTTGGCATACAGGAATCAAAATGGAATTTTGTTCTCTCTCCTCATGATGGGATGATTTTCTGCAGATTGTATAGAAGGAAATGCAGGGGAAAATAAAAGTGCCGTAAAACATGTATGATTCATTCATTGGTGTAAATATGTCTGATAAAGCATTCCCGGATGTGCCAAGACCATTGTATATAGCTCCTACTAAAACTTGAATTCAAGTTCTTGTAAATAGTTTGAAAAATTTGTTGATATCTTCATTGGTAGCAGAAATAAATCATTGTTACAGTATCTTTGTTGGTACCTTGACCTTCAAATATTCATTTTGATGCTCCCTTTGTGAATTATTCAAATAAATTAGAAAAACATGGTTGTTGGGGGTAGAGAAAAGTGTACCATTTGACCTAGTTTTTGTTTTGGTTCAAACTTGTGAAGGGACTAAACCTTGTTTAGAAAAAGATAAGAACAGGCATCATATCTAGGTGTGTACTTACGATTGCCTTCTGAAATTAGCACTCTTCTGATCTAATCTTTTGCTCTGACTTCTACTAATTCAAAGGTAAATTACTTTCAGATTTAGTCAATGAAAGCTGTTACGTCTTACAAATACTAATAAGTCGTGTTCATGTCCTTGTCATGCTGCATGGCTAGTGCAAATACTCTCTCAATTTCAAAATAAGAATCCTGTTTGTCTAACTATTTTAACAATCACGACTCTTATTTTGAGATGGAAGAGGGAGTACATTTTCTTTTTGAAATGAAGATTATATTCAACTTGGTGGAAGTTAGCTAGCTATGGATGATACAAGAAACTCCATGGAGTGGACCAACTTAAGAATTGCTTATTTTCCAACATGGCTGGGTTTTTTGACCATTTGTACTTTACTTTCAATACTAGTATATCATACATCTTCTCATTTTTCTATACATAAATTAGATATTCATGGAACAGATTATTCAACGTGATGACATTCGTACAAACCAAGTCTCCTGAAGTTGAGTACATAAAGGTGATTGCTATTGTTGTGTGTTATCTTCACAAGTGCAGTTTTAAGCTGGTTTTTGCATCTCAAATGGCTCTATTGGGAGCTTGGGGATGTATTGAAATTATCTTATCATTTCTTTGCTTTTTCTATGTTTGGGCATCAAGATACCGTAAAGGGCTTCCATGGAATTGGCCAGTTATTGGCATGCTACCAAGCTTTCTCCGATGGGCTACTCGGCTTCATGAAGGCTGCACCATAATTGCAGTTAATTCAGGAGGCACTTTCCTACTCAAAGGTCCATGGTTTCTGAACATGGATATGCTGCTAACTGTTGATCCTGCAAACATTCACCACATCATGAGTGGGAACTTTCTGAATTACCCCAAAGGGCCTAAATTCAAGGAGATGTTTGATATTCTGGGTGATGGGATTTTCAATGCAGACTTGGATTTGTGGAAAAGCCAGAGGAAAAGTGCCAGATTCCTGATCAATCATCAGAGGTTCCACAAGTTTTTGCTGAGGACCATTCGCGATGAAGTCGAGAAGGGGCTCATTCCGGTTCTTCATCATCTGTGTGAAACAGGTCAAGTAGTTGACTTGCAAGATTTGTTTCAGAGATTTACATTTGATACAACTTGCAAACTAGTCACAGGATATGATCCTGGATGTGTTTCCATCAGCTTCCCTGATGTCCCGTTCGCCAGGGCGTTGGATGCTGCAGAAGAAGCCATTGTTGCGAGACATATCATTCCAGAGGCCATCTGGAAGTTACAAAGGTTGCTCAATGTTGGTGAGGAAAAGAAATATAGTCAAGCTAGGGAGACCTTAGACTTTGTTATTGGCCATTACATCTCAAAGAAACGAGAAGAACTGATGATCAAATCGGAAAATTCAGGAGATGATGGTGATGATTTGTTGACATCATTTATGAGTGAAGGAAGAAACTTGGAATTGCCAAGTGATGATGATGAAAAGTTCTTAAGGGACACCATCTTGAATTTTATGATTGCAGGAAGGGACACAACCAGCTCAGCTCTTACATGGTTCTTCTGGCTTCTTTCTGAGAATCCCATTGTGGAAATGAAGATTAGGGAGGAACTGAGCTCAATTTCATCCTTAAAAGATGCCGAAAAGTGCAGGTTTTTCGAAGTTCAAGACTTGAACAAGCTGGTATATTTGCATGGTGCAATATGTGAATCATTGAGGCTTTATCCACCTGTTCCATTCCAACATAAAGAGCCCCTTGAACCAGACATCCTTCCAAGTGGCCACCGTGTTCATCCAAAAATGAAGGTTCTTTTCTCTTTGTATGCAATGGGAAGAATGACATCAATCTGGGGAGAAGATTGCATGGAAATGAAGCCCGAGAGATGGATTTCGGATCGGGGGACAATTAAGCATGAGCCATCATACAAGTTCTTGGCTTTCAATGCTGGTCCAAGAACTTGTCTTGGTAAAGAAGTGGCTTTTACACAGTTGAAGACAGTTGCAGCATCTATAATCCATAATTACCAAATTAATGTGGACCAAGGGCAACAAATAGTCCCTAATGTTTCTGTAATTTTGTACATTAAGCATGGATTCAAGGTCAGTCTTAGCAGAAGGCAAGCATAGAATCTGATATCTGTTCCATTGTATTATATATTTTGAGATTACAATATATTTTGAGATTACAAATTGTATAATTATATTGTATGAGCTTTACTCACATTCTTTTTTTAAAATTACTATAAATGATGCGTCAGCAGCACGAAATCTATGTGATCCGTCAAGTTAGCATGGAACATCCAAATCGCGATAAAACTGATAGAGCAATAACTTAAATGATTCTAGTGATAGATATGGTAGCAAAAAGATAATTGATAAAAAGTTTAAACTAGAGAAAGAGAACTTTTCTTTCACAAATAGATAAATGTGGACTAATCATGGTTGACCAGTAAAAATTATCAAAAAAACCAATTAGTTTCAATCGATGAAATTACAAATGCAGGCCGTTGATGGCTGTTTCCAGCCAACCTGGCGCCCCCAAAAAAAAAGGACATAAAAGTTGGTTGATCAATGCCTACATTTGCGCTCTAAAGAAGATGTCAAACCTTATTTTTTGACGAAGTCTGCATTTCTGGCAAGTGTCAAGCACGTTGCTTTCCCAAAATTCCCACATTCCTTTTTTTTGGTTTTCCCTTTTTTTTCCAAATTTTCTCAGGTTTGTCAGAAATGGTGAGTTCATCATCATCACCTTCAGCTATTCTCAGAAGTCGTTAATGGCTGAAGGAAAATAGAAAGAGAGACAGCAGAAAAAGGGTGAAGAGAAGAGAAATGTTGCACAGAGCAGCAAGGAATGCTTATTCATGGTGGTGGGCTAGCCATGTGAGAACAAAGCAATCAAAATGGCTGGATCAAAATCTACAAGGTGATCTTTTTTTTCTTTTTTTTTTGAATCAACTTCTTATGACTACATATCTCAAAGTGCATTCAGAAGTTTTTTTTTGGGTTCTGATGTTGAAAGATGAACCCACATTGATTTCAGCAATCAAAAGTCTATGCTCTATAGTTTGTCATTGCTATATAACAGCAGTTCAAAAACAGTTATGAGAAGTCTATACATTGCAGTTCAAAACAGTGAACAAAACAAAAACTCATGTCTGTGATAAACCCTTTTGGATCATGTGAAATACATTATTGGATTACTGAACAGGAAAATGATTTTGCTATCAAAATGTTCATCATGGTTAGGCATCCCTTTGTGTCAGTATAGAGAATGAAAATGCAAATTGTTTAGTTAGGACAAACAGCAGTGGCAACCCGGGTTGGATTTAGTGTCTAGAGAAACATAATGCATAAGTAAAGACATATCAGATTGAACTCTTTGGGGAAAAATTCATTTGTGTAAAATTCACATAAAAAAATGAGTGAAGCTGAGGTTGTTACCAGTTGCATGGCAGTTTTTGTGTCACAGATTACTATTGGTTGAGTTGCATCAATGCATTCTTCGAACTTTCTGATTCTGATCGAACTTCTGTTTCTGTCTTTTCATCTCTTTGCAGACATGGAAGAGAAGGTCGAATATATACTTAAAATCATTGAAGAGGATGGGGACACCTTTAGAGAGAGAGCAGAAATGTATTACAGGAAGAGGCCAGAGCTTGTAAACTTTGTTGAAGATTCTTTTCGGGGATACAGAGCTTTAGCAGAGAGATATGATCATCTTTCGAAAGAGTTGCAGAGTGCTAATCGAACGATTGCCTCCGTTTTTCCAGAAAGTGTTAATTTATCTATGGATGACGATGATTTTGATGGAGAAAATTTTCCTGCAAGTGCATTACCTCCTGATGAGTTCAATAAGCTTCCCAGAAAGGCACCCCCAGTCCCTGAAAAGAGTATTCCTAAAAATACTAATGCAGGAAAGAAGAAAAACAAAATGCCAACCAGACTAATGTCGCGGAAGGGTCTACTGAAATTTGATGCTGATGAAACTGCAGTAGTGTCTGTTCCAGTTTCAGGTTTGAGCAAATCGGACGCACTTGAAAAGATTGATAAGCTTCAAAAGGAAATTTTGGCGTTGCAAACGGAGAAGGAATTTGTGAAAAGTTCATATGAATATGGCCTTGAAAAATACTGGAACTTTGAGAAGCAGATAACTGAACTACAATCAGAAGTCAGCAACTTACAGGATGAGTTTGGGATTGGCACAGTCATTGAGGATGATGAAGCTCGAACTTTGATGACTGCCACGGCCCTTAAGTCATGCCAAGAAACCTTGAGCCGATTACGAGAAAAACAGGAGCAATCAGCTGAAGAAGCCAAAGCAGAATTTCAAAAGATTCAAGAAGCCCGAGAGAAGTTCAGGAGTCTAAAAGGGATGTTCGAAAGCAACCAAGAACATCAGGAAGGACTGGTAGAGAACGCGACAAGAAGTGAGCCAACCGAAGACAACAATCTAGACCACGAAATGGCCGGTGAAGAACAAAACAATCATAATGTGGAATCACTGAGGAAGAAAATAAAGGAGGAACTGGAAGTCAAGTTTGGAACTTCTCTGACTATGTCAGAACTAGCAGAGAAAGTGGATGAGCTTGTAGAAAAGATAATAGATTTAGAAACTGCAGTTTCTTCTCAGAGTGCTCATGTAAAGAGGTTAAGGTCAGAGACAAATGAGCTCCAAATAAACCTCCAGAGTTTGGAAGAGGAGAAAGAGAGTCTGCTTGAAGGTTCACATAGCATGAGTAAGAAGATAAAAGATCTTGAAGAAGAACTGCTGAGAGTACAAAGTCTCAAGGAGTGCATCAGGGATAAAAGTGATCACCTCCAAGCTCATTTTCTCGAAGCCAGCTGTAATCTTGATAACCTCTCTGAAAAATTGCTCGATGTGAAACCCGATGAAGAGGCTGTGAACATTACTCCATCCAGTCAAGCTGCTGATTTGTTTGGTGCCCATCCATTCCAACAGACTAGGTTGCATGGGATGATGACCATGCAGGACACTCAAGTGGTCTCTCAAGATGTGAAATTAGGAGATGCTGATAAGCATCGCGAAGCCAAGGAGCTAGCAACCCCTGAAAGAACCAGTCAAAGCAACTACCATAGTAATCTTCTGCTAGATAAGGATGATGGGCCTACTTCAAATGCCAATGTTAGGACGGAAGCTGAAGCAGATGAGGTTCCATTGTCCAGCCAATGCAAGAACCAACCTCCAGCCAATCCAGTAGAGTTTCTTGTAGAAGGTAACGATTATATTTTGGTAGGGAAGGCACTGAAACAGGATAGTAGTACCTGTGAAGCTGATAACGACCAGCAGCTTTCTCAATCAAACAAACATGAAATTGACTCTCTCTTAACTGCTCCAGATGCCAGTCCCCAGAATATGTTGAGTCAAGATGAAAATATGATACCTGGCGCTGTCATCGGTACTCTTACAGATACTCAGGGAATGGGTATGCATGATGAAGTGGTAGAACCAAGCTCCATGTTCATACACAAAGAGAATATAATTCCTTCTGACCAAAGTGGTAACCTCCACAATGAAATACGAAACCATCTTATTTCAGATGTTCAAGCTGACAGTTGTGGAAGTCTTTTTGAGGAAATTTGTAATGTCAGAACTAGTCATATTAATTTAGCAACACAAGGGAACTCAAAAGTAGAACCCAACATCGATAGCCTTGGTCTCCCTGACATAGAGATTTGCCCAAGTGGTTACTTGTTGAATGAAGTGAGAGATCTCACAGATGGTCTTCCAGAGAAGTCTGCTACTAACCAGGATGAAGTCCTTCTTGGCAAAAGAACGCCCACGGAAGAGAACTCAGTAGAACAACTGCGTTCCAGGTCACCTGAACGAGATCAAGATGACAATCATTCAGCATTAGGTTTAACTCACTGTAGCAGGGGTGCGGAGAAAGATAACAATAATACGAGTCCTGAAGAAACCATTAGTAACTCTCAAGATCCCAGTGTCAATATCCATCACACCAATATTCCAAATATCCAAGAGAAAAGCCATTCAAAATCCAGTTCACAGAAGGAATCCATCCCAGATGCAGGAATCAGTTTTCTGGACAACTCAACTGTCTCAGGAGATTTGGAAGTTGTAGAGAACCTTAAAAAAAGTATTTCAGATCAAGGTAAATTTAGTAGACAGTTATTACCACTATTGTCCATATCTTTCCATAGGCAATAAATAATCTATTTTGCAGGTGAGACCCCCCACCATCCACAGCAAGAAAAGATGTACACAACAATGGAACGTGGTGTGAACACGGATCAGGATGAACTTGGTGTGGAGGAAGATGATCAGCCTAATTGGAAGGAGCTATTTTTAAATGGGCTTGATGACAGGGAGAAGCTTTTGCTGCAAGAGTACACAGCAAACCTTAGGAACTACAAGGAAGCAAGGAAGAAGCTCAATGAAGTGGAGAAGAAAAATCGAGCTAGCCTCTTTCAGTATTGCATACAGATTAAAGTACTAAAGAGTGCTAATGCTTCAAAGGATGAAAAGATACAGGCGTTGGAGAAGAAACTGAACTTGCTTCAGGGAATTGAAGATGAAAATTATGATTCAGAAGACAACAAAATCACAGCCAATTTGGATGTACCTGATAATGGGTCTTTAATTGAAGACCAGATGGATCTCCCAGTTAGGTTGCAAGATCAGATTACAGTTTCTGACTCCATTGATGCTGCTACAAGAGCAGCTGGATCAGAGCAGCCAAAAATCTCCTTTATAGAAGATGATGGAGGTATTGAGGTTATCAACATTGATAAACCACACAATCCCTCTGTTATTGAGGAAAGAATTCGTACAGACATTGATCAGTTGCTGGAAGAAAATATTGAATTCTGGATGAAGTTTAGTAGCTCTTTCCATCAGATCCAAAAGTTTCAAACCACCATCCATGATCTGAAAGCCGAGTTAGCAAATGTGAAAGAAACCAACAGGAGAAGTGGCAACACAAACCATCAGTCACTTATCTCAGATATCCGTCCAATTTACAGGCATTTGTCAGAAATACAAACTGAGCTGACGATATGGCTTGACCAAACAGCATTTCTGAATGATGACTTGGAAAACAGATTATCATCGTTATCTGGTATACAGGAAGAGATAACAAGGTTATCAAATGCAGGACCTAGAGTAGAAGATTCAGAGCTTACTGAGTATCAAGCAGCAAAATTCCACGGCGAGATTCTGAATATGAGACAGGAGAACAGCAAGGTTGCAGACGAGCTGCACGCAGGCCATGAACGTGTGAAAGTGCTCCTCGTCGAGATTGAGAGGACACTGAAAGGCCTGGATGCCGAGTTTGGCATATCAACAAGAAAGCCGCCGACAAGGAACTCTACCACTCGCTCTAGGATCCCATTACGTACTTTCTTGTTTGGTGTAAAGCTAAAGAAGCAGAAGCCTTCATTCTTTGCATGCATTAGTCCATCTTTGCAAAAGCAGTACAGTGATTTAGCCGCTTTGCAGACATAGCATTAAGTCTATTTACTTCTTAGAAGTGTACAAGAGAACTCAACTAGCTCTAAAGGTTTAAAAAGAAATCCAGAAATAGAATCAGCAACATTAATCCTTCTCCTTTCTTTGTTTCTATTTTGAGAATGAACCGCTTACTTCTTGTTTAGAGAAAATTCATAAAAATCAAGGCTCTTTCCCCTTTCTTCACAGAAAGATGGCTATTCACTACCGAGTAAACTCAGAAAAGTTAGCTAACCTACCAGAACATTTCATTGCAAAAAGAATAATTAATGAATAGAGATAAACATTAAAATATAGCATCAAAATTCCCTGCATATATTAGACTACCCTCAAGGCTCCAATTATTTACAAACTAATCAAAAAAGGGCTAGACTATTCACATATAACACAGACACTCAAGCCTTCACTAGCTATCTAACCTAACCTGACCAACTGCTTCATGCACAATTACATACAAATAAAAGAGTCGAAGTACAGAAGAATAATAGGTCGACAGTTTCATGCCGGCAAGCCATTTTGCACTTCGGGTTCTTTCACATTCTTCAGTCCAGCATTTCCATCTATATCCATGGGAACAGGGTCCTCTTCGTTCAGCGTCGTATTCTTGATCTCACTGATTTCCTCATTGTTATCAAAAGTTTCTTCAACAGAGGCATGCTCCACATTATCCTTACTTGTGCCCTCAGACTTGGTTGTTGCCTCTTGGCCAACGTGTCCATTGCTACCTGCCACATCAAAGCTCGGAGCATCGCTGAACCCTTCTTGTGCTGGTTGGATAAGAGCATCGGCTGTGGCAGAAACCTTATCCCCTGAAGTCGGCTCTTCGGATGGCTTCACCAAAACTAGAGTTTGTCCTCCCTCGAGTTGATCCCTAATTGAAGTCCCAAGGTTTCCTTGATCCTGTGGGGCATCTTTCAATACAGTGCCTGGGGAAGAAGTCTCCTCACCTTTTGTTTGTACATTCGGCCTGCGGAGCTGAACACCAGCCTGGTGTTCAACCAGCTGCTCTTTTACGGTGCTGGCTGTACTAATGGAAGTAGAATCCTCCTCAGCTTTTCCGTCAACCTTAGAAGTAGAGAGCGGAATGGTGGCACTTTTAACTTGAGCCGCTGTAGTAGATCCTGGGGCAGTGGCAGCCAAAATGGGCTGGATTATGGGTGTTGCCATTTTTGTAGGACCTGGCACTTGTTGAATTCCACCAGCTTGTGGGTTTCCTGGGGATGATGAATGAGCAGAAAGTGGTTTTGGCCCCATGCCAGTACGAAAGAAGTGCACTCCAGGCTTAATATGGTGAGCATTCTTAGATTGAGCAGCCTTTAGCAGTGTTGCAGCATCTGATCCTGTGGCAATCCGTGCTCCAGCAGCAAATGCTGCTGCTTTAAGCATTGAATCTGGACTTATGGTAGCTTTTGTAGCTGCTGCTGCTTTCAGCTTTGAATCTGGACTTAGAGTAGCTTTTGTAGTTGGCTTCTTTGGTGCTGCCCCTCGAGATTTTGATAAACCACTCTGCTGTCCTGCAACCACTACGTCAGGTTGTGCTGCAGCCTTGGCAGTGAAAGCAGACGAAGTTTCGGCAGCGGTAGATTGTCCAGAATTTCCATTGGTCCCTGCAGATCCATTTCGAGATTAGAAGTTTTATCAAAACCGTAACAGATGGAAACCGTGAAGGTCATTTGCAGGAACATCATGTGTTGCGTATACATGGGAGAAAAGTCAAATGAGAAAACACAAGCTAGATAGCAGAATGCATGTTTAGTAATTACCTGACATAATTGAAGGAGGTGATTTCACGACATCCTGAAGAGCTAGATTCACAGCTCGATTAGCAGCTATCTGAGCCTCAGCATGCTGTGAGCTGGAAGCAACAGTCTGCTTAACCTTTCGCTTCCTAATAATGGCCCACCTCTGCACATATTCATGAAGGAAATTAGAAGACAATCTGAAGCAAAACTCTTAAACAACTACTGATTCATGACTAAAATCAGAATAGAAGAAGTTGTTTGCCTGTTCAAAGGGTTATGCTAAGTTGGAACCCTCACTAATATATATATATTATGGAACCCTTGGAAGGTTGAACAGGTACACAGGCCTCGAATGTCTGAATATATTCCGTTGCCGGGATTTGAACCCGGGAAAACCCTGGGGCAAAACCCAGACATCCTAACCATACTAGATAACAACGGATTTCTTTCATAAGTTGGCAAATTTACTCGTTTACAGTATGAAGATGGAAGGAATATCCTGCTGGAATAGTCATTATTAACCCCACAAATCATAACATACATATGGCATATCTCACATCAGTTTTTTTTAATTAATCTGAAAGGAAAACCATCTTTCATTTGCAAGATGCATCCTGTAACAATATAAGAAACTATTTAATTAGTTATTTTTCATCTATATTGAAAAGAATCCCAGAAGTAGAGAGACGCCGATCACTTTCCCATACCACACCTCCAAACAGCACAATATCTATTTCTTCACATATTGCACTACAAATTCACTGATCACTAAACCTGGTTCATATTCTTAGTCAAAGATCCAAATAGTTAAAAATTAGTTTTCTGATGCCTTCGTATTCACAATCAAGATTCATAAAAGTTCAACAAAGTAAGCCATCGTGGGACAAGTGACAAACTGCATATGCCTGACGAGCCCAATAAAGGTCAAGAATATCATTACCGAGTAAGAAATGAAGAAATTAAAGAAAATACAGATCTTATGGCGCAAGAATCACTGATCCTAAAGGCCGTGTTAAAAATTCTAGAAAGCAAAAGAGAGAAATCAAATCATTACATCATATTCAAAAGAGAACACTCATCAATCTCAAAATTTGGTGATTGCCAGCCAAGCTCATTCTCGGACAACTATATCAAACTGAAAAGCAGAACTCAATTTTGGGGAAACAAAGATAACAAGGTCTTTGACAACTTTCCTCTCATAGCATTTTTTTTAATTCCTCTTCTGGACCAATGAACCATACCTCCCCTTGAAATTCTGTCTTCTCATTTACCCAGGAACCATATCATAGTCTCATAAGCAGAAATCCCCTTAAGGCAGAGGTTATGAATTTGAACACCAGGATAACAATAGCCAAGTAGTGAAACTCATACGCTGTGTTCTGTCTCGCTTTTATGCGGGAGAATTCGCAATTACCATACTAATTAAAACAAAAAAAATAGTATAGTTTTATCTCTCAAGGCTAAACTTAAATATATTTCAAAGTCAGTGCACTTGATTAATTCCTACACCATAAAACAACAGCATACTATATTTCCCAGATTCAAACAAAAAGGCGAGTAACATGGAAAGTGAAGTTTTTCCACTAAAATAAAGCACCTGAGATAGTTGTGAGGCTGTTCTATCTCCCTTAAAATCACTCTTTAAGATATTTGCCCAGTTCCCTTCACCACATTTCTGCACAGCAGCTATAAGTTCCATGTCTTCTGCGGTTGACCATGGTTTTCTCTTACGCCTAGGCAAATTTGCATTTGCTGCACTAGTTGAATCCACTACTTCAGAACTTGATGCAGAAGTGATTGACTGCTTTTGTACAGAAATCGGGACCGTAATGTTTGTCCCTAGAGCAAATGCATTTGAGTGCAAACTGTCAGGGGCGTTGCTCATCTGGCTTTTGGGTATGTTTATAGTTAAGGGAGCTTCCATTGTGGACCCTGTGGGATCACTTGGCCCACCCGATGCAATTAAAACCTAAAGGAGCCATAAATTTCAACTATTAAATTCAAAATTGTCACCATATCCGCATAAGACTTTGCATAATTTACAATTCAATCGTGGAGTTCACAAAACCTTCCGCACACTAAATCATGCTCTGCAGTTTCTTTTCCACCATTATTCCCAATGAGAATACTCAATACATACTCTAATTTTAATGCCCGCAAATGTGTGCAACAGTACTTGCCAACAGTAGACCACATTATAAAATATCCTAATTAAGTCAAGAAGGCACAGAAAGTACTAACAGAAACACAATTTTGATTCTCTGCATACGATCATAATTAAAGGAAACCACACAAGATACTAAGGACTAACCTTCACACAAGCCGCAGCTTCAGCGAGTGCATCACTACTTACTGCAGGAAAAGCTTCCAGTTCACATTCTAAATCACTATCATCATCCTGCCAAAAAGCCATAACATATTACAAAAAAGGATTTCCATCCAAAGTTTGTGATCCAAATACACTTTTTTCACTACAAATATAAATCCTTAAAAAAAAAAATTCTTTGATGATGATCATACAGAAGTACAGAAAAAGATTCCAAATTTATATTGTCTCACAAATACAACGACGATATCTTCATTAAGCAGTTAAAGCGATTTCAAATTAGATTAAAAAAATTAATAAATTAATTAATCAAAGATTCAAGGGCAAGGTTGTATACCAGAGGTTGAGTAACATTATCGACTTTATCAAGCAAAGTATCGCGATAAGCCAAATGACGCCAAATCATTTGGTACTCTCTAGGGTTAGATATTCCCGTGGTAGTCTTCTTCGCCAAAAAATCCCAATCAATTCTATAATCTTGAACTTGAGCCACCTCTTGCAACAACGTCAGCACCGTCGTCGCATTGTACCTGCAAAAAGATAAAAAAAAAATAAATCAGAAAATGTAGAAAATTTAAAAACAGAATAACTACATGAAATCAAATAGAGGAAGCAATGTGGTAAATCAAAAATTTGAAAAAAAAAAAAAATTACCTCTGTAGAAGAGTGGCGATGTCAACTTCGCTGACATAATTCTTTCTTGGCTTCTTTGATTTCTCCCCCATTCTACAATTGCATAACCCGGTGCTGAGAAATTGCTTTCGGATTGAGGAAAACGATGAACGCTAAACCCTAGAGAGAAGAAAAGAAAGGGGGGTTTTACGGAGAAAGAGAACGGATTTCTGAGACGGCGAAGACTTTGACGACGACGTTTTCTTTTTCCGGTTCCCCTCTTTTTCTTTGTCGAGCAGTGGAGCGAGGACCGAATAGATCGTGGGGGCCACGTGTTTTTTTGACGAGGGGTGGAAAAGCAGTGCAAGTACGATGATTGACGCGCGTAAACTGGAGGTTGAAGAAATCTATCTTTTTTTATTTACAACATTAACCCCAATAAATTTGATTGTCTGATATTTACCCCACATAGTTTAGCAGATTTGCGTTTGATTTTTTTTTTCCCTCCCAATTATGAGATTATCCTTGTCTTTATGGTTTCTTTCCCTTTTATTTTGAATTTGATTTGTAGCTACTAAAAAATTTTCTGAAGATTTACAATTAATTAGAAACAACTTAAAAGTAGATTTTCTTTTTCTTCATGCAATGAGGGAAGGCATCTATGATAAAAATTATATTCGCACAAGCGAGCACAGCAGACTATAATGTTTTAATTTCTTTTTTTTGGTTAACTTTGTTTTTTTTTGGTTAACATAATGTTTTAATTTCTACTTGCATTACTTTTAATGAGAGGATAATCCTCCCTTCTTACACCTCAATAGGTAGTGTAGCCACGCATTTCTTTACTTTTCTAACAAGCAACAAATATATAGCTATTTGTTAAATTCCAATTTTTCTATGATAAATATGTTTAGACTTTTCTAACAAGCAATAAATGTAAATCCTTTTTTTTCTTTTTTTGAAAAGGTATGATAAACCTATTTAAACGCAAATGTATCATGGAATTTCCCAAGTGAGTAATGAGTTCATAGGTTATTCGGATCTTGGGCAAGGTTTGATGTCATTTTCTGTTTTCATGAGAAGCAAATGTCATTATGTTAATATTTCGTTTCACAGAAAAATATATTTTGTGACTTTTGTTTCATCGAGTCGAAACAGTAAAAAGAAGAAAATTGAAGAACATGGAAAGAATAGCGAGGATCGGCCAGTTTCTTGCTTGGCACCACCAAAGTACAAAATGATAATCTTTATTCTAACTTTACCTCGTTTACATAAATGATAAAACTAATATTACAAAATTACATTACAATTAAAATAAAATTCTACAACATCAGTGACGACCCAGTATAGGTACCCATTTTTCCCAATGTCCTTTTTGAGCAATTTTGAATTCAGGCTAAACAAATCACAGCAGTATAGATTATGTATTTGACCAAATACAAAGAGAAACCCCACCATCAACCAAAACTTGAAGGTCTCCAGGAGTGCAGGCCTTGGCTTTTCTTTACTCTTTGCCATCAACCAAATGCTGGCATCCCAGAAATCCCAGGACTCAAAAGAACCAGCTTGAGCTATAAGACGAAGAAGAATGAATTTCCTGACTACGACAAATGGACAACCAAAATGCTTGTTACCACACATCCCTGAGATACCGTCCATCCATCTGTAATTTCTTCACAAAGGCCTCAGCCTTCGAGGACTCCACATTGTCCTGAATTTGACCCAAACATTGAATAAGAAGCAAATCAAAAGCTTAAATCAAGTACGTAAATCTCATAATGATTATTTGCAATTGATTTCAATGTCTAATCACATCGCAGCTAGAGAGTTTACAGCTATAAGATGACAAGCACCAAAGCATCATCTCACGAGATCCATTTCAGGAAATTAGGAACCAGGGAATTGGTAGACAAAAAAGCATCAAAAATTCAGCAAATTGCCCCAATGTAGATGATACCAGAGAGACCACAAGCGACCATTACGTTTGAGAGAGAGAGAGAGAGAGAGAGAAGTTCCAACCTGCTCTTGAACCATGGTATGCAGAGCACGATGCACATCCTTTGCCATTCCTTTAGCATCCCCACATACATAAAGGTAAGCCCCTTGGGAGATAAAACTCCACAACTGGGCAGCCTGCAAAAAAACAACATTGTTCTTCAGAAATTAAATATTTGCGTCCTGACCATTAACCAAATCACAAACAAATCATACAAACCTTGTCCATCATCTTATGTTGCACATACTCCTTCTGTGGCCCCTCACGAGAAAATGCAACAATAAGCTCCGATATTACACCTTGGTCCACAAAACCATTAAGCTCGTCCTCGTAAATGAAATCCTACAACCACATGGTAATTTAGAAAATCAAGCCACTGTCCCAAGTAACTAGTCTTAACAGACTATATAAAACAACAGGAATTAGATGAGATGCTGGAAAATACCATCCTGCGGTTTCTGCAACCGAAGAATAATAAAGCAGGACCAAGCTCGGCGCCCTCTTCTTTCAGGACCAGTCTCTCCTGTATAAGAGATCAGCTCCATCATATTTCCTTTCACGACAAGAAAGAAAAAATAAGAATTGAAATCGTACATACTTGTAAAAATCCTCTAAATGGAGCCAAGCCTGTCCCAGGACCGACCATGATAATTGGAATAGAAGGATCAGCAGGTAATTTAAAATTAGAAGATCTGATAAAAATAGGAGCCTTGCTGCACTCATGGCTTCTTTCAGATGGCACAGCATTCTGTTTCAATTTCATAAGAAATATGTATTAGAGAAAAAATTAAGTTGGAGTATCCCTATGCCTAAGAAAACCTTGGCAGCACTCTAATTTTGCAACTCCATTTGTCAGCATACCTTCATCCAGGTTGAACATACTCCCTTGTGAATACGTCCAGTTGGAGTGGGACCATAAACCAACGCACAAGTTACATGAACTCTATTTGGCACAAATCTGCAGTAATTTAAAATTTTTTAGAATACCAATCCATTATTGGGAGTTGAGACCACTGATTTGATGCTATGTAAAAGTATATATGTACGCATGATAGTTAACATTGACATAATGACCTTGGGGAAGATGAGATGGAATAGTAACGCGGTGGCAGACGAGGCGAGATAGCAGCAAAAAACACACCAAGAGGAGGTTTTGCAGAGGGAAACTCAGCCATAACCTCCAGCAGACTCCTCTGACTTGCGACGACCCACTGTGAGTATTCATCCTGAAGACAGAATGTAAGAATAGGGTACATACATGATGGAACTGTTGAGGAATTTCATAGTCAATATTTTGTTAAACAGTTCAGCAGCAAAATAAGGAGGAAAAAAAACAGAAGGGAACTTTGTTTACCTTCCCCTGAGGAGATGCTAAGAATTTCAGTCTCTCTGCTTCGCTAGGTTCACTTGCATACGCAGCCAATGCAACCAAAGAAGCCTGGATATTTTCACAATAAAAAAACTACGCTGAATCATAACTTAACATGAAACTGAATTGATAGTAGTTAAACATATGTTCATCTAAACCTAATCCCAAAACTAAATGAATCAAACACACCTTTCGAGGAGAATTCAGAAGATCAGCATAGCGAGCAAGAGCCGTACGAAGAGAACAAGGTCCTGGAAAAGGAGGTGGCAGGCCTCCAATTGGAGTACCATCTTCCTTGTCAGCGTGGATAGAAAATACTAAATCTAAAGGCTGGCCCAGCAATTTCGCGGCCTCTTCAACACTCTCATCAATATTTTCAGCATAAACCCCCACATGGTCTCCGGTTTCATAACTGTGATAAAATGGAGTAAGAAGGATAAAACAATGTGTCGAAGACCATTATAGCATTGAATATAATTTAGTTTTAAAAAATGACAAAATTTGGGTCAGCCCCTATAGGTACAAAGAAGTCACCCGGCTGACCATAAATTTCATGATCCTTCTCTTTCAGACAAACACTAAATCTAGTAAAGGAATTGCTGGACATTTCGTGCAAAAAAAAGGAAAAAACTCCACAACCACCCCCAAGCTTTGTAAACAGGAATCTAGCAGCCAACAAGTTTTGCTAGGGAACACGTATCTGTTCTTCTTAGCTTGTCCAGCCCAAGATCACCAGAGGTGATCAATGGCTCCATATAGTTGTTACATGGCGTCTGACCTTTGATAGCCATAAACACTTGTCCATTCAGCTATCAAAGATGTCATCGCAGGCAACTTGCTACAGAAAGTGAACTCTAGTCATACATAACTACCAAATTCCATGTCAATGAACCTATACAATCCTATAGTATCCTCCAAAGAAACTCCAAAACAGAAAACCTGAAAAACAAGCCTGCAGTTACAATATATTTACCAGACAGAGAAAAGTATCACTTACTTAATGCCAGTGCCAGATATATCAAACTCCAAATGGATGCAAGAGCGATCAGATTCAGGAGTATGTAACTCTCTTTGAACAGCGACATTAACTCTACAAAGTTCAATTGAGGATTCAAAACAGAGAGGTCAGTACATATTCAGAAGGCTTGTAGATCCAGAAAAACAAAAACAAAAAAATACAACTGCATACATGCATGGATGATGAATATCATATGATGTGTTGCCATTAGCCATGTTGAAGTGCTTATCCTCAAAAGATGTAGCCTCAGAATCATGGACAATTACTCTATATTCAAGAATTGTAGCAGTATATGGGGTAGCTGCAGAAGTAGTGTCATCTTCATCTCTGAGTAACTGGTCTAACTCAGGCCACAGTTGTTCCCTCCTGAAAATACATATCCATTTTAAAGTTAGAAACCCATAAAAACAGGTAGGGTCCTGACAGAGGCAATATAATAAGGTAAGAGATTGTCAGTGATAATATAATCTTGCAGTGAATGCATACCAAGCAGCAAAGTCATCCTCGATACACTGATCATCATCACCCAGACCAACCGGAACAAGCCGTTTGGCACCTAAATGATTAAAACAAGGAATTAAACCCCCAGAGAAGTATATCAAAATGAGTACCTCACGAATACATTAGAGCATAAAATCACATTACACTGCATCATATCCAAATAAAGAACCACTTACCATATTCGCTAAAATGTTCATCGATCACCACCGCAATCTGGAATAAAAGAAAGGTTCAGTCCCAAAAAATAATAGGATAACAAGATAAATATATATATACCGCAAATATACCTTATTGAAATGCTCATACTGACGATTACCAAGACCAAAAACACCATATTTAAGCTGCTGAAGCCAGGGTTCCTTCTCTCTTCCCTATAGGAATAAATCAACACCGTTTAAGAGTTTTTGCATGACAAAAGTATACATATGCCAACACCCAAAGAAAAAAAAAAGATGTTCACTTAACCTCTGTAAACCATTTGTAAAATCTTGCAGCATTGTCAGTTGGCTCCCCATCACCATAACTACAATATGTCAATATCAAAAATTCAAACTCATATCTTTGGGAGGAAAAAGGGCCATACAACCCTCATAACATTGATCATCTGCAACCTAGTATTTATCTTACGTTGCCACCATGAAGAATGCCAGTGTCTCCTTCTTCAGCTTTTGCTCATACTGATCATCATCTGCAGCATAGTCATCCTGCCACCAGCAAACAAAGTTGACAGTTTTAATAGCTTTCAATCATAACAGTCACCTTCACATGGAAAATACAGGAAAGCTTATCACACGTACATACCAGGTCAACAACTTTCACAACTGCCTTCTCATATCGAGCCTTGATCTCCTCAGATAACGCCTACAAGAAACAAATAATCAATATTCTGAGTTGGCAAAATTAATAAAATATTGTGTTAACTGCAGAATTTAATTTTCAAGAAAAAAATTACATTATGATTGGTTCCCTGTCCATACAAATACAAATACATACAATAACCAATAATTCATGCGCCTACAACATCAGCAGACCATGAGTCCAGTGTTGGTTATACCAGGTGAAAATTATAACCTAGCGCATGAACCATAGAACAACAAAACACAACAACAATAATAGGTGCAGTAAAATCTAAGAAAAAAACAAATGCAGTAAACCTGGCAAATGGTGGAAAATTTCCAGGCACCAACTTTTCTTTACTCACCCGAAAGAACCCCCAAACGACTAAAATTGTTTTCAGTACTAGTTTTATTTTTATAAACTAATCAATGAAGCTAAACACAGGCATAAGAAACATGGTCCATTGTAGACATTCTAACAATAGCCTTCTCTTATGACTTTGATATTCAAGATTCTACGGGACAAAAACATTTATCAAACTTTAAAAAGTTTATAAAAATCAAAAGTAGATAGCTAAAGAATCCAAAACTTCCTTTTGAGATACAGACAAGGCCGCACTACATGCCTATCTGAAATCAATCAGCTAACAATTATATGCATACACATTAGATGATCAGTATGCATAATTTAGTTGTATCCAAGGTAAACCTCCGAACAATAATTTGATCATCATAACATAAAAGTGACAAAGAAAAACAGTTTAAGGACAAAATCAACAGAAGAAATCCAAAAGTGCATACGACAGCCTCAAATCCAATCCTAGTCCGACAAAATGAAGTGCTAATATAACCCAATCATCATTTCAATCAAAATGAAGCATACTTGAGAATCAAAACACATCTACCATATTCAAGGCAGCAACTGAAACAACCAACCAGTACCAACAGTTAACAAATAGATCTCGAGGCAATTCACTCTGTTACCTTAGCAAAACCTTCAGCTGTACCAGTTTGAGTGCCGAAGAAGACGGTGACTTTAACCTTAGTAGGGTCCAGTTCCTCCTCTTCCTCCTCCATCATAGCCGGCACCGCCTTGGGAACCACAACCGTCTTGTTTACCGGTCCTTTATCACTCGATCTCTTCCATAAAAACACTAACAAACCTACGATCACCGCCACCGAGGTAGTCACGACCACCAAAACTTGGTTCCCATTCTCCCCCAAGGACACACCCAGAGCTGACTCAATCGACCTCACTATCTCCAATTTCGAGTCCATGACTTTACACCGGCGGTCACTGCGGCCGTGATCGCTGGTGGTTTAGGCGGGAGAAAGGTGGTGGTAGAGTAGCCGGCGGGGAACGGCGGAGGATTTTGACCGGAAAGTGTTGATGTTGGGGCCGGGTAAGTGATTGGGGGAAAAGAAGGGGTTCTTTTGAGAAGAAAACAGGTGGTCTTTTTCACCAAGAAAAGGATGTGATTTTTTTTTAAAAAAAAAAAAATATATTTTCTTTCTTTGAACTTTCTTTTTTTTTTTTCCAATGTTTGTGGGCATCGATTTATTGTGTGTTTTAATTGTGATGATTAATCTAATTACTAATTTCGTTGTTTCTTGTACTTTAACGAGGTTTCTATTGGGTCCCAAAAGATAAAAGCAATAAACAAAAACAGAATAATGAACATTCAATAGCAATAATAATAACAAAAGTTTCAAAGGAGTACTACTGTTTCTAGATTATGATTTTTCTTGGATGACATAATTATAACATCACGATACATATTTTCCTATGAAATATATGATTTTCAAAATTTTCGAAAAGAAAAACTCATAACAAAGAATCAAAATTATAGATAGTAAATTTTAAACCATTTGATTCACTATTGATTCTTCTTGCATTTACGGTTCCCTTTGAGAAAATGCAGTTAAAAAAGAAAATCGCGAGTAATTAATTACCATTTTTTTCTCGACCAACAGAAAATCATTTCTCTTTCTAAACACCAAGAGAGAGAAAGTCCTCTCTTTCTCCAAGTGAGAAAGGTTACTATCCAAAATACATCCAAATACCACTATCACTCACCCACTCCAACTCCTTAATCGGATCACATGCAAACCAATTTTAGAGTATAATCTCATCAAATTGTCTTGCAATTCCCAAATCTGATTGCTTGCCCTTCTCACCTTTATGTTTTCGAAAATTTCTATCATGATTGTTGGGAACACGCCCATTTTTCTACTATTTGTTTAACATGTATTTCATCTAATCCTTCATAGTGCTCTTATCCTTCTATAAGAAGTACCCCTAGTCTATTCTTCTGCTTTTCAAACCTTTCAGCCTTGTAATCACCAATCTTTTTCAAACCTTTTCTTATTTAGTCTTCTAAGTTCCGGCTCGTAGATTCACTCATATAATCAATATGTTGTCTTTTAGTTGTCTAAGTAATAAAGGTGTTCGCCTTTTCGTTTGATCCTTTTCCCAGACATTCATCCCAAGTCCAAAGCGGAACTCCGTCGATTCCTATTCTGTATTTACTTCTTCTTCTTGTCCTTTTCGTCTCCTTGTCCTTTATTATTAAAGTTTCTCTGTCCTCTGCTCTACTTACCAAATTTTGATTATCTAATATTCCCTTTCTTCTACAAGTACTTTATTCTACACTTCTTCCTTTTTGTCTCCAACATAATGAATCACAAACATGCTATAGGTGAGGATTTTGTCATAGCCATGTCATTTGATGGCTCAGAATTCTCTGAGGAACACCATGGTTTTAATCCGGCTATAGATCCAGATCCACAGCAGATCTACACTTCTCATTATTGTGCTGGAGCTATAAGACTCACAGAGGAGAATACTCGTCTCTCACGGGACAATCTCCGTCTGTCACTGCTGGGATGTCTTCTAGATGATCGTGAGTTCGATAGGACACGCATGCAGAAATATCTGAATGAAAACTGGCTCGTGTATACCCAGATTCTTCGTTATGATAGGAATTTGTTTATCATAAAATTCCTTAGCAAGGCAAATCTCCTCACAGTATTGGACAATGGTCCGTATGCAGTTGAAGGTGGGTTATTTATTCTCAGGAGATGCTATGATAATGAAGATTTGGCATTGGATTTAATCCGAATTGATAAGCTAAGCCTCTGGGTGAAGATGCATGGCACTCAAATCACAGCTCTCAATTACTAATGAGCACGAGATCTTGCTAAGAATGTGGGGGAAATTGCCCTCATTAAAGAAATTGTGTATCATTACGGAAGGCTACCTATGTCAGGGCTAAGGTATGGGTACATCCAAGAGATCCACTAATTCCAAGTTTCTATTTTGAAAAATGAAATGGTAGATTTGCTAAGATTCAGTGTACGTCCACAAATTCTGTTTGCGGTGTGGATGTTTGGGTCATCATCTCTAGCACTGCCACATGCAAGATGATCAGACGCTGGAGGAGAACCTGGACACCTTTTTCATGGAAAGGGCGATTCAAGATGGCTCACCTTTATACATTAACCCCAACAGGCCTCTCTTCACAGGCTCGATGCGTGCGCATGGTCATAAGAAGCGAAGATGCACCATAATTATGTTTAATAAGTATCTGCAACTGCAGGATTTCTATGATCATGTTCCTGAGCACTACATTCAGGATAACTTCCAGATTACTGAGCTGGATGAGGCGCATCCAGTAGCGTGGTATCCCATTTATCCACCAGATGATGACAATGATGATGATGGAAATAATGACGACAATGATGATGAAGATGACTAAGGTGATGGCCCGCATAATGATAATGGTGCTGACTCTGATGAGTATCATCAGAATGATCCACTGCAACAACCACAAGCTGGAGATGCCCTGTCTAATTTCTTACAAACTGCATTCCAGGAGAATGGATTTATAGATACAGAAAGAAGAGCAGCCCCTGCAGCAGAACTGGAATCCAGACGAGATGTGGAATTCCAGCGTCTTCCTGATCCACAAGAACTATGCTTCTCTGACTTAGGTAGCTTTTACTCTTCTCCTTAATAGTTTAAGAATTCAGATTATTGTGACAGTTCTATTTTTGTGGAATCAGACAGTGAAATGCCAGACTCATTCTATCTAATCCCTGAGGTTCCGCCACCTGATGATCTCTCGGATACGGCATCTTATGTCCCATCTTTGTTCATTGCAAATGTCCCTGACTACCCGCCCTTTGATGATGGTTTAAATTCCCATAATTCTGTATTAAATGTAGTGTTGTCTGATTCTAAATCTCTTAGTACTGATAGGGATGTCTACTGTTTTATTGAATGCAAGTAGTGGGTCCGATAGTAATAGCCCAGCTGATGACAATCATTGTAATATACCAAGTGCCTTTACAGCACAACTATATTACTCTTCTGATGACTCTGTTCATGGAGATACATCTTGTAATAGACAGACTAGATCTCCCCCACCATTAAGAGGCAGGAAGAAAGCTACAAAGGTGACCAAAAGGAAAAATCATGGCTGGTCAATGTCCATTCAATCCCTGGAGGAGGAGTATCACTCAAGTTCAATCTCTGGTGTCAATCAATATTGTTTGAAAGTCAAGAAGGCAGTGTCGAATTTGGAAATTCGGAGGTCTGTAAAACAATGCCATGGTGATGACACGATGACTACTGAGAGGGCTGCACACTCAAAAGGTTCAGCTGTCAGCTATTCTAGGAAGGTCAAAGTGCAGTCTTTTGGTACTTGGCGTATGACAGTGGAAAGTGATCTACTATATACTTCCTCTGACTCTGAGGGAAGTAGGAAACGAAGATCAGAAAAGCCCATAAAGGAAGCCATGGATTTTCCTACAAAAAAGATGAAAAGTGCTATTGGAAGTAAAGAGACAGGAAAAGGGCTTAGAATCCCGAAGATGGCCACTCCATTTGAAAATAATCTGATGTGCTTTGCGGCGGTTGTGCTAGAACGACTGCCTTCACTTTTATGAGTCTGCTCTCATGGAATTGTAGAGGACTTAATCAGGCTTCTGCTCAGTTTTATTTAAATAAACTAGTTAAGCATTATAATCCTAATATTTTATTTCTTATGGAAACTAAGGCTAATCAGGACACTTTAGAGGCCTGGAAACAAACTGCTCCTTACCTTCACTCTTTTGTTGTTGATCATGTAGGTAGTAATGGAGGTTTAGCTCTATTTTGGGTAGATGGTTGTAATGTAGATGTGCAAGTAAGTAATTTCAATGTAATAGTGGCCAGCATCAAACAGGCCTCTGGATTTACCTGGCTAGCAGCTTTTGTTTATGGCATTCCTTCTCATCAAGGAAGGGCCACCTTTTGGAATAGTTTAAATTGTATCCTTAGTAGTTACTATTATCCCTCTGTTGTTCTAGGAGATTTTAACCAAGTTGTCAACCAAGAAGATAAACTAGGAGGTAGACCTGTTAGAGAACAAGATACAAGTGGTCTCCGCAATTTCTTACAGCATCAGAACTTGGAAGAACTGAGGCATCTTGATTGTTGGTTCACATGGTCGAATAATCGACATGACTCTCAAACTATTTTTGAAAGGCTTGATAGGGCCTTTGTCACCCCTAAGTGGTTGCGACATTTTGATAAAGCCTTGGTTAGAAACCTCCTAATCATGGTCCTCTACTGCTGCTAACAAGGACAAAGGTTCAACAGTAAGGAAAAGGAAGAAATTTGAGCAATTTTGGGCCAATTGTGATCAATCAAAAGAAATTTTGGCCTATGTTTAGCAACAAGATAACTTGCAAATTGACTCAGCGCAGGAAAGTTATCCTTTAAACTTCATTGCAGCTTGTCCAAATTACATAGATAGAGTACCTCACAGTTTGGAAAGATTGACCAATATGTGGTTAAACAAACATATCTTCTTCAATCCTGTCAGATGTGTTGGGAAGAAGATTCTTCTAATCCATTATCACTATCTAGTGTACAACAGCAAAAAGAGGTGGTGGAAATGGCTCTACAACATCAACAGTCTTTCTGGCATCAAAGAGCTAAAGTTAATTGGTCCCTCCAAGGTGATAGGAACACCAAATATTTTCATGAATGGGCAAATAGAAGAAGAGGGAATAAGTGGATTACAGAATTGAAGGATACTGGTGGTGTTTGGATTCAGGCCCAGGTGCAATTGGCTGTTCTGATACAAACCACTTTGCTGACATATATGTTACTCCCAGCCAAACATATAATCTCCGATCCTCCTTTTTTCATGCACAACTCAACAACTTGGAGGAAGTAACTCCACAGAGCAGTCAACTGCCTTAGCACAACCGTATACCAAGGAGGAGGTCTAGAAGGCAGTCAAACAAATGGCATCTTAGAAATCACCAGGACATGATGGCATCCATGTTGGATTCTATCAAAGGTATAAGTTAGAAATTGGCACTGACTTGGAAACCACCATTCTGGATGCAATGAACAAACAAAGCTTCCTGGCTGTGTGGAATAAAACCTTCCTTGCCTTGATATCTAAACTAACAAATCCCTCAGTGCCAGGGGATTTCAAACCGATCAGCTTATATAATACCAAGTACAAGATCATAACCAAAATCATCACCAACCAACTTAAAGCAGTAATGGACTTGCTGATCGATGAACACCAGAATGGATTTGTTCAAGGGGGAATATTGCAGAGAATATCTTGATTGCACATGAAATGGTGGAATACATTAGAAGGAAGTCTAGATCACTGGGATCGACAGCAATAAAACTGGATATGAATAAGGCGTATGATAGTCTCTTGGCAATTCCTGGAGAAGGTACTTATGAACACCAGAATGGATTTGTTCAGGGGAGAATATAGCAGAGAATATCTTGATTGCACATGAAATGGTGGAATACATTAGAAGGAAGTCTGGATCACTGGGATTGGCAGCAATAAAACTGGATATGAGTAAGGCGTATGATAGAGTCTCTTGGCAATTCTTGGAGAAGGTACTTATGAAGGTTGGTCTTCCAGACAACCTTATTCGTCTAATCATGTTTTGTATCTCCACTGTGACTTATTCTGTACAGTTTAATGGAGACTCCCAGCATTTCTTCTCCCCTATAAGAGGTCTCAGACAAGGCTGCCCCCTATCCCCGTATTTTTTCATTCTGTGCCAACAGGGTATGTAGTCGGCAATCAGGGTCGAAAACAGAAGTTTCTCAGGACTCGGCGTTAAAATTTGTAAAACGGCACCCAGAGTGAGTCATCTGATGTATGCAGATGATAGCTTATTTTTTCTGGAAGGCAAGGAGGATTCCATTCTTGCACTGGTAGGTGTCATTCAAGAATATGCAGCATTCTCAGGTCAAAAGTTCAACCTCAATAAGTCCTTCATCTTACTTAGTCCTAACACGTCACCAGCAATGAAGGCATTTATCCATTCTACCTTACAAATCCCGGAAGAAAATTTTCAGAGCAAATATTTGGGAATGTCATTAGATTTCACTTAGAAAAAAAAGTTTATCTTTCAAACTTTCATATCTAAACTGCAAAACAAGTTTGCGGATTGGAAGACTAAACTTTTATCTCTAAGTGGTAGAATTACAATGGTTAAATCAGTTTTAGCTTCGATGCTGATTTATTTCCTAGGAGTTTTCCAGCTTTCAGCAGAGACAATTCATAAAGCTGAAGCCATCATTGCAAGGTTCATCTGGAAAGGGGATTCTCAGAATAAAGGTATCCATTGGAAGTCATGGAAGAAAATTAGCAAATTGCAATTTCATGGTAGATTAGGACTGAAATCTTTCAAACAGTTCAATCAAGTTTTGTTAGCAAAACATGCATGGAAAATCATGTCCACCCCTAACTCCTTGCTCTCAAGATTATATAGGGCCAAATATTGCAATAATGGTACCTTCCTTTCAATTAAACCTCCAAATCAACCATCATGGGGATGTAGAAGTGTTCTTTCGGGGGCAGAATTACTCAGACATAATGTCTAATGGAAGGTCATTTCCGGGAAGGAGATAAGGATTGAGGATAATTGGATTCCTGCACAGTTTAATACGATTCATCCAAATTCACTACTAGCCACTCACTCAGGGCTGCGAGTTAAGGACCTGATCAAAGAGGATGGTAGTTGGAAGATGTTTGTTCTACTCAATATTTTCCCTTCGTCCATAATTCTCACATAACTGGAATATTTGTGGATCCGGCTAGAAGGCAACAGGGGGATAGATTGATTTGGACCAAAGAAAAGTATGGCATTTATACGGTAAAGTCGGGCTACTATCAAGCAATTTATCTATACAATCAACAACAACCTGCTATTCAACATGCTCACTCTCACCATCCAACTTTGATTTGGAAAAAATTGTGGAACTCTAAGGTTCAACCAAAACAGAAGATGCACTTTTGGAAAGTTCTGCTGAATGCTTTATCAACAAAGATGGCACTACAGAAAAGAGGAATGGATGTCACTTTGGATTGTCCTAGATGCCTGTCTGCACCAGAAACTAGTATGCATTTGATTCTAGATTGCCCGTATTCTAGAGCTCTCTGGAATCTGGCACCCCCGGTCTATGATGATGTGTTCCATCATACTAGTACCTCATTGCCAAAATGGTTTGAACGCTGGCTACAGAAGTGCCTTGATGCCTTTGATGTGGATCTCTTCTTCATCATCTGTTGGTGGATATGGATTGGTCGAAATGACAAACTATGAAATGATCATCATTATGTTCCCATAGCACAATGGCAACTCATTTATCATGAGTTCAGCTGCCTAAAGAAAAGATGCCGAAAGCATCGAAGTTCTGAGATTGGTTTTCACACCAGACAACAAATCCCTACCCTAGATGATCGATCCACAATCACCATGGATGGATCATATGATCCAAGAACACACAGTGCGGTGAGAGCGTGGAAAATTGTGTCACCGACTGGTATGGTACTACAAATAAAAGCAGTTACTGTCTGTTCCTTATCTCTTTTTTAAACTGAGGCGTTAATATGTCTCCTTGCACTGCGTGAAACTTCCAAACTTGGACTTGATAGGATTAAAATCCTTACGGATTGTAAGATGCTAACAAACAATCTCAATACTCCATTAATTCCAATGGAAGCACAGGAAGTAATTTCACTTATTAGTACTTTACGTTCAAGTTTTACTCTTTGTGAAATTATAAAAGCAAGTAGGAATGATGTAGAGGAAGTACATAAACTTGTTTATGAAAAAATGCAATGCAGTAGAGTAGGTCTTCAATAATATACAGGACCATTTTTAAAAAAATAATAATAATTACCATTTTTCTTAGTTTGGTTTTATGGAGCAAAATAATATAAGCGATAATGAAAAAATAAAAATAGTACTAGTACACACTAAAGAAATTATGGGATGTTAATGAAATGACATAAATATTTTACTGTTAAAATTTTTTTCTAGAAGGATATTATTGAAACATTAATTTTCAGGAGCATTTCGCCAAAACAAATACATTTTTGTATCTTTGTTCCAATAATACATTGCATCATAAGTAACCATTTCACAAAATTTGTGGGTCGAAAATGAAAACAAAAACAATGATAATAGTTTTGTTTAGTTGCCTCAATTGCCTCTTTCAGGAAAGGAAAGAAAGCTACAAAGGATAACAAAGGAATATCCAAAAAGGAAACATAAAAACAAAATATCCACTTATTACCAAATCACCAATGTAGTTATTCTTTTCTCATTTTTTTCTCGTTTTTGTAGAGACAAACAATTATAAATAGTACTAGTGTACAACTTTATAATGTGACAGTGCAGCGAATGTAGATTGCAATTTCCGTGAGAGATGGAATGCCGTGTACCAAATTCATTGCAATAAATTTCGTGATTAGATATGCATTTGGTCAAAGATTAATATTGTTGAGCTGCACATGTCGATCTTATTTGTTTTGTCGTTGTCAAGTTGTATTAACTAGAGGTTGTTAAAAAACCGTAAATTCGATTGTATTGGTCATATTTTTTTTTTTATAATTAGTAGAGATATTTTA